AAAGGGCACGGGGAAGCCATAGGGCATCAGTGGAAAGAGGTCACTTTTGGTCGGGGTAATCAGACAAGGATTTCTGGAGGAGGTGGCATCTAGACTGGGCCTTGAAGGATGAAAAAAATGGTGATAATGGAGAGGAAGGAAAGGACATTTTTAAGCTGAATGGCATGAGCAAGGAGGAGGAGGTGGGAACATGCAAGTTGGTTGGTTTTATAGGAATTATTTTTTAAGTGTCTTCTAGGGAACTTTGTCTGAGAACTTTGTGTATTTTTTCTAAATTAATCCTTATTGAAAATATAGCTTCCTAAAAAAAAAGAAAGAAAGAAAATATAGCTTCCTCTATAGATGGAAATTTATGATGAGGAAATCCAGGATTGGAGAGATTAGGTGATGTATCCAAAGTTGGCAGAACCAGGACTTGATGTCAACCTTGTCTCCAACCGATAGTGATTTTATTCATTCATTCATTATTTATTTATAGTAAACTTTTCTTCATTGTAATTTATTACAAAATTATAATGCATGCACCTTGTAACAGATGTTCAGGGTAAGTAAGCTTAAAAATATGGATGTTCTGTACCTTTCCCAAGCTCTTACACACCGTATAGACTTATGCAAAGGTCTTCCTTGGTGATTCAGATGGTAAAGAGCCCACCTACAATGCAGGAGACCCAGATTTGATACCTGGTTCGGGAGGATACCCTGGAGAAGGGAATAGCAGCCCACTCCAGTATTCTTGCCTGGCGAATGCTATGGACAGAAGAGCCTGGCAGGTTACAGTCCATGGGGTCGCAAAGAGTCAGATATAACTGAGCAGCTAAGCACAGACATACGTAAATGTTTCTTCACCTCTCCCTTTATGTATTTTTCCCCAAAATGAAATCATGCTGGACAACTGGTGAAATCTGAGTAAGGTCCATAGATTAATAATAGTATTGATCAGTGTTAAATTGTTGATTTTTATGACTATCCTGTGCTTATATGAGTTCTACTTGTACCTGAGAGAGACACAGTGATGTATTTATGGATAAAGGATATCACGTCTGCAACATACTCTTAAGCAGTTCAGAAATATGTAGATGTTTCTGTAGTAAAATGTTAACAGTTGGAAAATTTGGGTGAGGGGTATCCAGGAATTCTTTCTTCTGTCCTTGCAACTTTTCTGTAAGTCTGAAATAAGGTCAAAATTTTAAAATGCTATGCCATGCATCTAGTGACTTGCATTTTTTGCTTGAGCATATGCAACAAATATTTTTTTCCAGGTCAGTTCATGTAGTTCTATGCATTCTCTTTAATGACTGCATAATGTTCCACAGTGAGGTTCCATTGTATAAATACATTCTAATTTGTTCAACTCTCCCCTTTTGATAGATTTGACTATAAATACAATGTTAATTATATATTAAGAACTCCTGTACACTGTATCTGTTTCTAGACTCTCTATGTTGTTCCACTGATACCTGCCCATGACAATGCTATATTGTTTTGAGTTTTCTTATAACATCTAATATATGGTTGAGCAGAACCCCAATGAGTATTTTTTAATTTCATGAAGTGTTTTTGGCAATTCTCAGGCATCTACCCTCTCATCTGAATAAGAATTTTTTCATCTTAAGTGTAAAAATCTTTTAGGGATTTCTAACTGCAGTTGCTTTAAATTTGAAGTTTACTTTGGGACAGACTCATTTATAAGGACATAAATGTATTTCTTTACATGTGGAAGTATTTAAAGCAAACCTATGCAAACAAGTAAACCTATAATATAATGTAAGTAAACATAGAATATAAACAGAGATCATGCGCCTAAAAAAGTACACTGGGGCCTCCAACCTTCAAGGGCTGAGTCTGCCTTATTTTTCAGCCCACCTCCGGCAGTGGGGCAACACAAGAAAGCTGCCTCAGAAAGGCTGACGTCACTGCATGATGCCATGCGGCTCTTTCTTGTGTGTCTCTCTGTGGGTCCTTGACACGCTCTCCCGTTTTATTATCCCCATTTGACAGAAAGAGAAACAGAAGCTTGGAGAGCTGGAGCGACTTGCCAGGATTGCACTGGACATAGCAGCGGCAGCACCGGCCTGACGCCCAAGGAGGCTGCTGCCTCCTGTCCTGGTCCTGACCTTTGGCTTCTCAAGGGCTGTGCTAGCTGAGGCAGATGTTCAAACAACCTCAATATCCTGGCACAAGATGGCACTTTAGTTGAAGGGATGGAGCACAAGGCCAGTCTCGTTCCCAAGGAAACAGCTGCCAACAGATAACAGGCTTCACTTGCTCGTGAAGCTGTGGGTTTCCAGCCTCAGGGAGTGAAGTCTTTCTCAAAGTGAAAAACTGGTATCAGTTCCTCACTCTGCTGCTGTGTGTGGCCTCTCTGCCTGTCTGAATCTGACCCATTGTTCAAAGCCCAACTTAAATGCCACTTCCTCCCATGAAGACTTTTCTGATTTTTTCCTTTCTCCCAGGTTCCCCTCCTGTCATGCTAGGCATGACCATAGCCCACCAGACTCCTCTGTCCATGGAATTCTCCAAGGAGTATGTTGCCATTCCCTTCTCCAGGGGATCTTCCCGGTCTCGGGACTGAACCCAGGTCTCTCACATTGCAGGCAGATTCTTTACCATCTGAGCCACCAGAGAAGCCCAGGTATGATCCACCTTCCTCCAAATACACTCACTTGCTGTGACTGTCCTTAGAGTTAAATAGTTGACCTCTCTGAGACTTAATTATTAATACTTCCTTTGTAAAGTGGAAATAATATCTGCCTTGTAAGGCAAAAGTTAAAAGAAATAATATATGTAATATATGTACAGTCCTAGACACACAGAATGCTGTTACATATGTTAGTCTGATGTTATCACATTCAAATGTACACCCACACAGCCCTGCACATTCACAGACAGATTTTACCTGTGTGTGTTAAGGCCCTTATTCTTTTTTCCTTCTATAATAATTATTTGTGTAAGTTCCCAGGGGCAGGGGTAGAGAAATAGGGTGTAGTGGAAAGAGGATTTGGAATAAAAAATTTGGGTCTTCCCCTCAAACATCTGTGTGACTGAGGTCAAGTTACTTCTCCCTGAGTTTCTTCCTTCATAAAAGAGAGCTAACGATAAAATGTGCTTCATAGTTTCCTCATGTACATTATCAAAATAAGAATGGATGCTCAAAGGCTTTAGAGACTGCCAAGTGCTAATGTATTGTTACCCAATTGCCCTTGTCTGTTTCCCAGAAGCCCAGAGCGCAGTGCCTTGTTGGGGATGAGAAGAGGTACACACAATGATTGTTAAATGAGTAGGCCATAGCACTGACTTCATTGTCTTCATAGTTCCCCTCTGAGAGAAATTTTAATATGTTCATTTCAAAGATAAGCAAACTGAGATTTGCAGTGAGTAAAGTGCCTCATTCATTCATTCAACAGACCCCTGAATGAGCAATTACCTTGAAGCAGATTCTGGGGAGGGATACAAAAATGAAATCCCTGCCATCCATCACAAGCCAGAATGGAGGAAAAAGACATAAAGGAAAGTATAACACAAGGTGGATTATGAGTGATAGCTAGTATTTATTGGGCACTTACTAAGTGCCAAACACTGTCGTATGTGCTTCATGTGTTTTACTCCTTCAGTCCTTCCCAAACTCTATCAGCCAGGGACCATTATTATGCACGTTTCTCACGTATCTGTAGATTAATGGTGACTGTTTAAGGACTCATAAACCTCAGGAAGTTTCCTAAAGGACTAGGAATTAAGTGGCAGAGAGGGTGGTGGGGAAGGCAGGGCCATTTCAGGAGAGGGAAATGTGTGGAGACCACCTATTGGAAACCTCCACAGCATCCCAGGCAGGGGCCAGGGCTGGTCAGGAGGCTGCAGGAGCATATAGGACACAGTGCGGAAATAAGAGAAGCCCATATCCTACGTGTAGCTATCTGAAGGGTTTTAGGCAAAGGAGAGACTTGGCTAAATTTTTAGAAAGATCATCTGGGCAGCTGGGTTGGGGGTGGATGGGAGGGAGAGAGATTCAGAGTAGTAATCCAGGCTCAAGTTGATGGTTGCCTGGACAAGGGCTTGGGGCAGTGAGGAGGAGATGAGAGGCAAAGTTTTCTGGATGATGATAGTTTGAAGTGAAGTCACTCAGTCAGTCGTGTCCGACTCTTTGCGACCCCATGGACTGTAGCCTACCAGGCTCCTCAGTCCGTGGGATTTTCCAGGCAAGAGTACTGGAGTGGGTTGCCATTTCCTTCTGCAGAGCATCTTCCCTACCCAGGGCTTGAACCCAGGTCTCTCGCAGTGTAGGCAGATGCTTTACCATTTGAGCCACCAGGGAAGTCTTGATGATAGTTTGGGGATTGTTAAACAGAGGACAAAGAGTAATTTTGAAGAACACTCAGTTTCTGCTCCTAATCCAAGAGAATGGGGGAGATCTGATGAGGTCAATTTTGGATGGAGCCAAGGTTTTCTGGCCCCCAATCTGTTGGCCTCCTGACGGTACCAGCGACGACTGCCTGAGAGCGCGCCCTCCGGGCACCAGGGAAGGTAGCTACTTCAACAAGCAGCGGAACTTAGCCTGAACCCCGTTCTCCTCCCCCCTGCTCCGCGCGCCCCCCGCCCCCCCCGCGCCGGCCCCGCTCCTTCCCCACTCCCGCTCCTTCCCCACTCCCGCTCCTTCCTCCCTGCCCACCGCCACCGGCACTGGCTGTGACAACGAGGCGTCATCCTGGGCGCCAGAGGGCGCTCCCTCACATGCTCAGACCCCTCTGGCCCAGCCCGTCTCAGTGGCCGCGGAAGGTGACGTGGACACGGAAGTGGTCGTCGTCGCGGTGGCACCGGTGGGAGCAGGGCGCGGGGCTTAGAGTGCGGCCAGTGGGCGGACGGGCGGCGGCGGTCTCGCACCTGCAGTGGCGGAGGACGCAGGTGTTGTCGGTTGGGTGCGAGTCTGGTGAGCTGACGAGGGGCTTCTCAGCGCTTCCCCTGCCCGTCGGTGCCCCGCAGCTGGGTCCCGTTCAGCCGGCGTCACCATGACCAAGGCCGGTAGCAAGGGCGGGAACCTCCGCGACAAGCTGGACGGCAACGAGCTGGACCTGAGCCTCAGCGACCTGAATGAGGTCCCGGTCAAGGAGCTGGTCAGTACAGTCCCGCAAGGCCCAGGCGCCCACCCGCGACTGGCGCTGGCCCCTGCTGCGTAGGTCGCTTCCTTTCCCATGCCTCAGTTTCCATGGCTTAAAACAGGTGGGGGAGTGGGACTGAGTCCCCGGGGAGGCCGCGTCCGTCTCCAGTTTTCTTCCTGGAATGTACACGTGTCACTTGGGCGCAATTCCAGAAGATGGGAAGGAGCTGCTTGTCTGGCTATGGAGTTTTTAAGAATGAGGAGTGAATCTCCTCCTCCCCACCCCCATTTCTGAGGCTTTCACAGCGTTCAGCTCCGTGCCCGACCCAAAGTGGGAGCCGTTGGAGCGTTTGCTGGATATATTCGGGGAATGAATCAACGAATGAATGAATGACTCGGTCTGAGTAGGCCTCCAGGTACTCCTGGGTGTGGCCCAGAACCTGACTTTTCTAGGAAGTCAGCAATCCCAGCTGGCTGCCCCAGCCCTGAGGCGTCCTTCCTTGAAGAGAGTGAGATCTCACTGCTTGGTTGGCAAAGTTTTCCCAACTCTGAAACTGGCGGGAATATTCGCTTCTGTGGCCACCCCTCCACCCACCTACTCCCACATCCCCAATTGGGAAACAAGCCTGAGGCTCCAGGGACATTACAAAACTAGTTTGTTACCAAAGTGGAGTTGTATGGTATATCCCTGCTGTGCCCACCTGGTTCCCCACCCACATCCCCCACAGTAGCATCACTTTGGATGACCTGCACTTTCCTCACTGCCTTTAATGAATTACATTTACCTTTGGCACTTGGCCCAGTTTTCCGTCCACCTTGGCTGTGTAATATGGAGGTTAGAATGGGATTCCTACTTCATATATCAGCTTCATTGCTTAATAGCTGAGTGCCCTTGGCAAGCTAGTTAACCTTTAAGCCTAGATTTTCTCATTTATAAAATGGTGGTAATTGTTCCCATTTCATAGGATTGTTGGGAGAATTAATTAAATTGTAATGTAAAATACTTGGGAGGGAGCAAATACTGATGCATGTAGCTATTACTAAGGTGTTCTTCCCACTGTAATATCTCAAACGTTTTAGGTGGTCAAACCTCATTCTTGGTACTTTCTGGCATTTGGAAAGTGCATGTTGGCCCCTTGTCCTTAACTGAATATTTGCCTTCTTCCCCATGTTTCAGCCTGGCCTTAGGACTGATGTCCCAAATCATCTATCCCAGGCATCTGGTTAGTGCAGCACCACCCCTGGGAGAAAGAAGGATCAGTTTTGCTGATTCTTTCCAGCCTGAACCCCATGGGAAAATAGCTGGGCTAGGAGAGCCTTTTTTCACTCTGCATTCACTCATTCATTTAGTCACAAGGGTATCTTGAGTGCCTGGAAAGTTCTGAACTGGAGAATATGGAAATCACAAAGCTATATTAGACACAGTGTCTTTCCTGAAACCTAGTAAGGACGGTGCTAGAGATAATATTAAAAGTGCTATGGAGAATTTCTAAGAACCTGTTTTTTTTCTTGGATGTTTCACAGCCACATCTTTACTCTTTGCATTCTTCTCTAGGTCATGGTTGACTGGCTTAAGTTTCCTTTTCTGTCTCCAGGAACATTATACTTTTTTTTTTTCCTACAAGGCCTTTTCTAATTGTGGGAACTTTCTCTGGAAAATGCTTCATTAGCAGATGTCACTGAATTGTTCCATGTGTTGATCTGACATTTTGTTCTCATTCCCTTCCTAGGCTGCCCTCCCAAAGGCCACCATACTGGATCTGTCCTGCAATAAACTGACGACTCTACCGGTAAGGCTGGCAAGCAAGCGTGATTTCTTTGAGAGTCCTGATGTTTCTCCTTCCTGTCGGGGGAGGGGGGGGGTCATGTCATAAGACATAATTTTAGGATAGGCCTGCAGGCAGGCTACTACTAAGTTGGAGTGTGTTGCAGGTAGAGTGGGGTGGTTTGTCTCAGTGGGAAGGGAAGCAAAGTAGAGACCTTATTCTTTAGGAACAGTGGGAAAGCCAGGCCACTGAAAACTAAAGTCAACAGGATATTGGCTGAATTGTTTACTGGGTTCATCTTTTTTCAGCCTTATTTTATTCCTTCAAAAAATAGTTTACTTCCTTGTTGCAGTAGAGGAGGCTACAGGCTCTTTTGTAAGTTTCTTTGCATTCCAGAGAGAAAGCTTTTCGTAATGGTCTCCTTGTACATGTTTTGATGGGGAACAGGAGAAAGTGTGTTTTTGTAGAACTGTCATATCATTATCCTCCCAATACTTGAAATACAGTTTTGTTTAGCACATCCAACCTAATACTTTTGACTCTCCTTGTACAACTTCTCCCAGTTCTCCTTTTGCTCCACTTGTGAATCATTCAGCCCTGCTCAGCCTCTCCTGGGTACTGGTTGGTCTCTCCTCCATGACAGTGCTCCTTCACTGTCAGGCCCAAGTTTGTTGTCATTGTTGCCTTTTCTGCCCATTATTCTGGCTTCGTCACTCCTTACCATACTCTTCTGGCTCTGGCTCAGGGATTAAACTCAGAAGTTGGCAGTTTCTTCCTTGGAGCATTAGTCCATTTCCATCTCAGTATTCTCCTGGGCCTCACTTATCATCTATAGCATCTTCCTGCAGCTCATCAAGATTTGTTTCTAACACTGGAAAAAAGCATCTGAGATTCCACTTCTTCCAAGAGTATTTTATATCTAGTTAAAGAAGGGAAGCAATACCTTGCAGCCTGATGCAACTTTGTCAGATTGTCACTCGGTATCACCAAGTGCATTTTTCAGTGTGAATTTGTTCAGTTGTCATGCGTTCCCCTGAAGTGTAGATCCACTGGCATTTATAGGTTCCCAGAGAACACAAATGGTGCATCATTAACTGAGGTTGGACTATCACTTCAGATGGCTGCCGAGCAAAGGCTTAATGACAAGAGGGATGTTTTAAACTGTGCTAAGGAGCCGGGATATGAGTAGGATGGGCCCCAGCCTGTTTAGTCAGTCATTCAAAGAATACTCCGTGAGCATGTGTACTCAGTAATGTGCTAGGTGCTACAGAGAACAATGAAGAATAACACTGGGTACACGAAGAACAGGGGCTTTCCTGGTAGCACAATGGTTAAGAATCCAGCTGCCAATGCAGGAGATCAGGTTTGATCCCTGGGTAGGGAAGATCCCCGAGAGTAGGAAATGGCAACCCGCTCCAGTATTCTTGTCTGGAGAATTCAATGGACAGAGGCCCTTGGAGGACTACAGTCCATGGGGTTGCAAGGAGTTGGATGCAGCTGTATGCATGCACACAAGGAGCACTTGATCTTTTTAGAAAATTGGATTGTCACACCATGTTTGGGCAGCTTCCATGAAAGTTGAATATAATGTGCTGTTGATGACAGGTCAGAGAACCGAGGGTGAAGGAACCCATACTTACTTAGTGGCTACTTCCAGCTCAGCCTTTTTGCACCCGTCTCACTGCTCACCACCAGCAGCGATGCTTGCTACCTCCATTTTCATTCAAGCTGGAACAGCTGGTACAAAATAGAGTTGGGATTTGTGTATAGGTGCGTCTGACTTGGGGGCTCCCGGACTGTTATGTCACAGTGTGTGAGCCCAAGGCTTAGGTGTTGTCTTTTTGTCCTAGTCGGATTTCTGTGGCCTCACACACCTGGTGAAGCTGGACCTGAGTAAGAACAAACTGCGGCAGCTTCCAGTGGACTTTGGCCGCCTGGTCAACCTCCAGCACCTGGACCTCCTCAACAACAGGCTGGTCACCCTGCCTGTCAGCTTTGCTCAGCTCAAGGTAACAATTCCTGACCCGGTGTTTCATAACCAGGTGTGGCAGAGGGCTTGGGAACTGCGGGGGCGTGGCTGTGAGAGAAGCCAACGGAACACCACGTTGTTGTCACAGCCTCAGGTGGCTTTCCCTATAACTGAACACAGAGGGCTGCTCACTTTGTCCCACTTTGAGGGACTCTTCATGTGTGCTTGGGCTCACCAGCCACTCTGCCCCATCTCTTTAGAGCCTGAAGTGGCTGGACCTGAAGGATAACCCCCTGGATCCTGTCCTGGCCAAGGTGGCAGGGGACTGCTTGGATGAAAAACAGTGTAAGCAGTGTGCCAACAAGGTAAGCAGGAGCGCCCCAGTGGCTCCTTCACACGATCCCCTGGGGTCTGCCTCTTGTTTTTCTCTGCCAGGGCACCTGTAGCTGTGTGTTTTTAAAACACAAACATCTCTAAAATATGTCTGCTCTGAGTCTATCAGGCAAAGGCACCTTTGTTTCTCTCTTTACTCTCTAAGCCTAGAACAATGCTCTCTTCTGCTGTACTGCCGCTTCTGTTCTTAGAAAGCAGGACCTGGCATCATCCAACCCTGTACTGTTGATAGCTGTTCATATGGAGCAAAAAGGTTAGGGACTGTGGCCTTCCTGAGTAAAGTTATTGTAGGAATTTTGATAATAAAGATGTGGTTAATATTTGTAAGTTTATACCTGGAAACAGACACATCCTGGGCAGACTTGGCATTTGATTTCAATTGAGTCATCTGACATAGGAGAAAGGAACTAACGGGCAGCCTGGAAAGCAGACATTTCCAATAACCCTGAAGGTACTTTACATCGCTTCTTAAGAACAGCACTGTACCCACCTCTCAACAATTCTAGCTATAGTCATTTTTTCCCTGCGGCTTTAGAACAGGTTGCTGCTGCTTCAGTTGAGCACCAGATGACTTGGCTGTATGTTTAGGGGGTGTTGTGAACAAAAAAGGATTTAACTTTAAATGCTAGGTTAATGTAAGTAAAATGTGTGTATGATGGGTTCTCTGTATGAATCTCAGGAGTAATGGCCTTTCTTTTCTTACCACTAGCTCAGGACTTCTTAGCTATCTAAGAAACCAAATGCAACATCAGTGCATCCAAGAAGCCAAGGCAACAGTTTGCCCTCAGTGGGGAACAGTACAAGTGAAGTCCTGTTGTGAAAACTCTGCTTTAAGGGTGACGTCTGTTCCCAAAACTAACAATAGCCGTCATTGACTATTCCTTTGTTTTATGTGCTTTGCATGTTTCATTTTGTAATCCTCATAACCCTGGGAAGTAGGTATTCCTTTTGTATCTGTGACATGAGAAACTCTGAATGTGCAACATCTTTGATTTATCCATGTATTCATTCAACTAATAATATATTAAACCAAAGAAGATGCTGATATTCTAGTTTTTTACCGACAAAAATAAGTGTAAAGGTCTTTAGTATTCACAGATATTCACCAGACAGCTTCTGGGATCATGGTGCATTGTGGATGTGGTGAGAAGCTATGTTCCTGGCCCCACTGCCCAGAGCTGTCTCCTGTCCACACCTTTAGGCATGTACAGGAGTAGTGTGGGCCAATCAGAAGGAGGTTACTTGTCTCTAGGAGTTAGTTTAGGTCTTGCCAGCTCTGACCCTGTGGCTACATAGTACCTGATCTATTTGGTTCATAGTAAAGCACCTTTTAAACATAATTTGTTAGTTCAGTAGAAATCATCAACTGCTTACTACCTGCTGTGGACTAGGATAGGTAGACAAAATCTACCCTCCAGAGGCGCCTCTCCCATTTCTGAACAGGCTGTGGGGGTCAGATAACTAACTCCTCATGTATTGTAGCCAAGCTAAGAGCGGCAGCTCTAAAACATTCCAGTTCCTTACTTATCCAGCTTCTACTCAACTAAAACCAACTGCATGGTTATGCTTATATAAGATTCAGAGTTCAGAGTGAGACAGGGACTTGGGCCACATCTCTCCCCATCATGCTTGACCTTCCTCCAGATCTTATAGTCCCGTGCTGAGCAGCCATTTTTAAGTAAGCGTGACTGTTCTGGAGAGGGGTCAGACGGTGCACTGTTGGTGCTGGTCGTGGGTTACTTAGGACAGGGTTCCTGTGGCTTTAAGCCAGGTTCCTGGAGGGAGCGGCTTTTGTAGGCCTGCCCGTGAGCCCCTCTTACAATAGACATATAGCCATGTCTGAAGTTTCCATGAAGAAAGATGTTTACATTTGAATACATATCTAGTATTCAGTAGTGAATAGTCTAATGCATTCGTGAAACAGACAGTTAAGACAATTTGCTGTCTTAATTTAGAATGCTTTAGGTTTTCTTCTCTTATTAGAGTCAAGAAGATAAGGTAAAAAAGCAACAGTGTTTAATGAGCATATATAATGCCTTTCTTTTAGAACTCTCCTGCCTCTGTGCACTGGAATAAGAGGGACGAGCTCTGGCCCAGGCCTAGGAACTCAGGAGACCTGCACTCTCTGCTGTGCTACTTTCTAGCCACGTGACATCAGAGCCTGGGTTTTCTTCCTTACCTTTACAATAGGCATCCAGTCAGTTGTTCATCATACCTGTGCCTGTAATTAGCTAAGCTCTGTGCTTACTACTTAGCTAAGGACAATAGTCCATACCCTTAGGGAGTTTACAGTCTAGGACTGAGATGGATAAGAAAATTCCCTGTAAATGGGAGGAGGGGAACTTGAGGCAGCCACAGCGGGGTGCGGACAGGAAGGTGTCTGAGTGGAAGTGCTGTCCCTGCACAACACAAAAGTTGCTGGGAGAATTGTAAGAAGTGATTGTAAACGGCAGAACTTTTTACAGATTCCAGTTGGTATTGTATTTCACAAACTTTTTTTCCTGAGCTTTAGTGAACTGTGCTCACACGTCTCTTCTCTGACTTGGTGCAGTGAGGACACAAGGATTAACACAAGGACATTAGGATTAACTCCATTAGCTCTGCACTGCTTGCAGGGCGCTGGTAATCTGGACTCCTGAAAAGAGCAGTCTCTTTTCAGATTCCCCGAGTGAAGACAATTACACAGAGTAGTTCAGTGCCCTTCTCTCCCTTTGCAGGTATTACAGCACATGAAGGCCGTGCAGGCGGATCAGGAGCGAGAGAGGCAGCGGCGACTGGAAATAGACCGAGGTAGGTTGCCACCCCTCTTCTAGTCATTTTCCCGGTCCTTATCTCAGCCAGCTGGTTCTCGTGCTTAAGGAGTTAGGATCCAGGAGAGGAGCGCTGCAGGGCAGTAGGGAGTAGTGTAGTGGTAGATGGTAGCATCTCTCCAGTCCCAGCTTCTCCACTGAGACCCACAGTCATATTCAACTGCTTATCTGTCTGTCTGCTTAGACCGTTAGTAAGTTATCTCAAATTAAGCAGGGCTAAACCAGATCCCCTTTAGTACCTTATACTGTTCCCCCATAAAGGGAAATCACCATCCTTATTCAGGCCTGAAATTGGGAAATGTCCGTGATTGCTTTTCTCCTGTTACTCCCATGCCCAGGCTGTCAGCTGTGGAACCTTCAGTGCTAGTCAAGCCTCCTTCTGGCGGACTGCCACAGTACCTCCTAGCACCCTGCCCCAGCTCATACGGCAGCCAGGGAGATCTTTTTAAAACATAAGTCAGTTCTGCTACTATTTGGTAAACCCTCTCATGGCTTCCATTTGAACTTAGAATGAAATTCAAACTCAGTAACGTGGCTGACAAGGCCTAACATGCCCCGGCCTACTTGCTTCTCTGTCCTCATTCCACATGCCAGGGAGAGAGTACAGTTACCCTCAGCCACACAAGCCTCTGTTGTTGCAAAACACACCAGGTACACTATCATCTTAGGGGCTTTGCTTGATTTCCTTTTCCCTCAGATCTTTATGTGGCTGTCTATTGGCTTCATATGGTCCCTATCTCTGCTCAGATGTTGCGTTAGGTTAACCATAACCCTTTCAGAGCCACTCAAACTAGAATTGCCAGCCCACCTGCCACTCTCTATCACATCCTTGATTATTTCCTTTATGGCACATATCACTATCTTTTTTTACTGTTTGTTCACTTGTTTATTGTTTGTCTCCTTCTCTAGAAAGCAGAGGACTTAGGCACTAGAGCCTGACTTTTCTTCACTGCTGTATCCAAGCACTTAGAACAAGGCCCGACACACAGCAGATGCTCTGTGATGGCTGACTTCTGAGCCCCCTTACTGGAGGACTCCCATGGTTAGAGGGACACGTGTAGTGCTGATGACAGGCGGGCCGTGAGATCAGAACCCCCGAGTTGGGACGGTCCCTTGCACATGCATGGCCGCTGTGCTGCGTTTACTGTGACTGTTGCTGCTTTTGCCTCTGGATGGCACATGTTCTCTTACGGCTGGGCAGAGTGTGTTCCTGGCATTCTTGGTGCCCATCTGGAACTTGGAGTTTGTTTACACGTAGAAAAGCAGTGGGAAGCTACAGTGCTAACACTACTACCATTCAGATACATGACAGTTCAAATAGGCTTTTGAGCCCTAACAGGACATTTAACCACCACCTGTGGTGTTCTGGCCTTGGAAAAATGTACTTCAGTCTTTCAGATAACTTATTTGGAAATGCATTTTTAGAAACCAGTTATTTGTAAGGTGGGTGCCATGTGTAAACATACTTGAGCTGGGGAATAAATCTGAGTGTTATATAGACTCCTGAGTTGAAGTCTAGAGTACCCTCTGACAAGCTATTAGTTTTACTTTTTCAGGAAAACATTTCCAAACTTTCTAACTCTGAACCTGAATGTTCACTTTTTCATCCTGCCCTCCCATGCTACATTCCTTTCCAAAGCTTGGAAAGATGAAAGTCCCATAGAATCAACACCTCCCTTCTTTCCTCTGCTCATAGTTGAGTTGTGCAAGGCTGCAAATGGCTGTGTCTCCCAGTTCTAAAGGAGCACCAGACTCATCACCCATACCTTTCTTATGCCCCTCTTGCTATATCACCCTACTCTTTCTGCTGCTTGTGGCTAGGAACCCCTTAATAAGAATCTATTGGGCAAACCCTGAGAGCAGCTTACTGTATTTTAGGGAGGGCTTACTTCCCAGAGAACAGAAAGACATGTGATCCACAGCATTAGGGGAAGGGAGCCCGAATCCATATTAATTACTTGGGATAGCACACTGGAGGTTTGTGAGAGAAGCCACTTTGGGGTATACTTTCTTGTAGAGGCTGAGAAGAAGTGGGAGGCCAAGCAGCGAGCTAAAGAGGCTCAAGAGCGGGAACTGCGGAAGCGGGAGAAGGCAGAAGAGAAGGAGCGCCGGAGAAAGGAGTATGACGCTCTCAAAGCAGCCAAGCGGGAGCAGGAGAAGAAACCTAAGAAGGAAACAAATCAGGCCCCAAGTAGGTTTTTCTGTCAGTTGCAGGGTTCCAGGAGGGGTGTGGTGAGAAGATGGCTTAGATTTCCAGGCATAGCTGAGTGAGTGAGCGAGCAAACAAGCTTACAGACCTTGTCAGGTACAATATACTCTAAAGTCTGGGGGTGACTTGGAGGATCCACTTATGGGGAATGGGAACCCTCCTACTGCCCTGACTGGTTTGTTTTCTCAGTGTCACGTGTTTGGATCAGATGTGGCTGAGAACATTTCCCGAACAGGGAGTTGCACTTTTTGTAAAGGTTAGATTCTAAAATCACCCAGAAAGGTGAAGATTGCGTATGGTCATATTACTCTTAGAAGACCCTTCCATCATCCAGCAAATGGACTGGGCTCCTGAGGGTGTTGTGCTGTCTCAGTGGTGCCAGCGTGGCCTGTTGATTTTCTTTCCAAGTTGGACCAGATCACTGTTTAGTGAACACCAGAAGAATTATGTGGCCTGCATTCAGGAAGCCATGTCATGTAAAAAACACACTAGGGTTTGCCTGAGTATGTCCTGTTGGATTTGTGTAGCAATGTGGCTCCACGTATAAGTGAGGACTGTATATCTTCTGGGCCAAAAGGGGCCCCTAAGGGAAAGACACCTGAACAGGGAAGCTCTGTGGGGAGCAGAGGCCTGTGCCTGTCCCTGCTTGCCCCCCACTGGCCTTGAGCAGGTCACCCAGCCTCACCGCCGTTTTGTTCCCCATGTTAATGAGGATCATACCTCCTTACAGGGTTGTGATAGGATTGAGAAAAACTTCTGACAGGATCATGTAGTTCTTGGCATATGGGTATTCAGACAGGTTTTTTAAAAATTTGCCTGAAAATTTCAAAATCAATTCCCCCCCCCCCAATTTTAAATATATTCATTTTAGAGAATTTCTGTATATATCAGAAAATGTCAATCACCTGTAATCCCATTTCCAGCATTATTCACTGTTGCCAATGTATTTAAGGCTTACAATGTGTGTAAGGCTTTCTATTTTATATATTAGAAGTATTTATACATTTTGAACCTGTTTCCCCAAATGGGTAGCACTCTATCCATGCTTGACACCTCCTGATAAAGCTCTGTCCTTGGCCCTAGGGGCCTGGATCATTGGCATGTTACGGAGGAGAACTTAGGACCCTGGGGACTGTATGCTACATGGAGACATCCAGAATGAATCCATTTTCAGTCTACTCGCTGAGATCCAAGGGAGAAAGTTCATGTTTCAATCTCTGCATAGCAAAGTTTTTAAAGAGCTCAAGTCTTCTTGCAAATGTGTTCTCCTAAGGGCCTGGGGAGTTTTCATCAGAGCAGAGGGTGTGAGTGGGTGTGCATGGAGGAGACTGGCACTGACTATAGTGTCCTCTCCTTCGACTGCCTGAACTCTGTCTCCTGTGACTCTGTCCCTCCAGAATCTAAGTCTGGCTCTCGCCCCCGTAAGCCACCACCCCGGAAACACACTCGATCCTGGGCTGTGCTGAAGCTGCTGCTGCTGCTGCTGCTGTGTGTGGCTGGAGGGCTGGTTGCTTGTCGGGTGACCGAGCTGCAGCAGCAGCCCCTCTGCACCAGTGTGAACACCATCTACGACAATGCCGTCCGGGGCCTGCGCAGCCATGACATCCTCCAGTGGGTCCTGCAGACCGATTCTCAACAGTGAGCTTGTCCTTAACACCTGCTGCCTCCCAGCCTTGGAGCTTGGATTCCTATGGAATTGGGTTCTGCTGGACACAACCTCTTTTTAGTGTCAGACCTACCTGCCATCATCAAATGGCTACCGTTTGGTACTTGAGACCTCCTCTTTGTAAGACTTCTTTGTTCCTCAGTCAGGGTTCCCTGGTGGAATAAGGAGAAATAGGAGGTGGGGACAGTTACCTGCATGCTTAAAAAAATAGGCTTGGGGTAGGGAGAGAGCCTTTTCTAGTTGTCATACAAAGCTGTGTAAAGGCAAGACTCGTTTTTACTAAAGGTCAGCTGTCACTACATTTATACTTTTGTATGTCACAGACCCTTTCTTTCATTCCTCCCTGGGGACCCAGGGCAGATCAGGAGGCAGTGTGTTATTGGGGACTAGGGGAACATCATACTTGGCAAATCTCATCTAAATTGAGGGGGAGGGGCATACCTATTTTGTAAGGATCTCAGACATTCAGATACTTTAACAGCCATACAAAATCTTGGGCTGTGACAGGACTTCCAGATCATCCAGTCCAATGTAGACAGGGAGACTGAGGCTTTCCATGACTTGCCTATGGTCTTCCAGCTAGTTTGGGGCAGAACTGGATTCCCACCTGGTATCTTTGGATCCCAAGTGGTATCTTTTTTTCCCATCATTTTACCTTCTTTGTAATGTCCTGAGTAAACAAAACTTAGACCAGAATTGGGTGTCTCTTGGCTGGAGTAGAGAATCTCTCATGGGAAACAGATTTATGACCCATAAATAGAAATCTCATAGCCACGAGCATCTTGGGCAGCTCCTGCAGAGTCTTGCCACAGCTTATGTGGCTTCTATAAAATGGGCACAGTCCAGGCTCCTGGCGTCAGTTTAAGAGGATTAATCCCTTGATTGCCAATAAACAAGAAGCTGGATCCTTGCAAAACCACATTGTCTATGACAGCTCTGTTACATAATTGGTGTGACTGAATACCACATAGGCAACCTGAAAACTAAGCTTCATAAAGAGACTTGATGTTTAGAATCGATCCTAGACATCATGGAGCTTAAAAGTGGTAACAACTAGCATGAATAAGGACAGCACTGTCCACTCCCTTTATCTGCTAGAGTCAGCATTTTCTTGCTCTGTGGCCTCCTTTACCTCTTTTCACTACATCAGAAATGGCCGCCATGGTGCTCATTCACAGAATACTCATGATTGAAAGCTCCTTGCCTTTCCCCACAGAGATTGAGAACCTGTCATGTTCAGAGACAGTGGGGTCCAGCTTGTCAGCACTAGTGGCCCATGGATAGCACTGACACTTGTGACTGTCCTGATGATGGAAGAAAAGACTTATTCTTTTTTCCCTCAGGGAGAACTGCTGCGTAGGCCCACACCTTATTCAGAATCACTACACATTCCTTTATTTTTCCTCTAAGCTCCAGAACCAATGGTACAAATGCTTTATTGAAATTAAAACCAGGACATAAAATGAGATTAAGAGAATACAGAAGTCAGCACAGTTCCTTGGCTGGTTGAGGAGCTTCAGTGGGTGGCAAGAAGGCAAGAGCACATCCAGCCTCGTCAGGTCACCAGCTGAGGGCAGTTCACTTGTGACCTGGAGATTTGATGCTGGGGTACTTTTGGATTTCTACAGTTATTAAATACATGTCTGAGTGGTCTGTCTTTGTTCCTTTGTATTTTTGAGGGCTGGCGAGGGCAAGGGCAGGGGTGGTTCACACATGGCAGTCAACTTGCTAAGAGAGGAAGGCAAATATAAGCATCTCGGCCTCCACCCCAGGTGGGCAGGTAGAGACACTATCACAAATAGCAACACCAAGGAAAGCCTGCTGTGGGCAGGACCCAGGCTTGTGCTGCAGGAGGTGCTCCTGATTCCTACACTGTAGTCATGCTGCAAGGTAGGAGCAGCGGTGGAAACCAGCTTTTCATCCTCATCCTGAGGGCTGGCTTCAGTCTGCACTGTCTAAGGAGAGATCTGGCTGCAAAGCTGTCATCTGAAGGTAGATACGCCTGGACAGCTCTGGTCCAACACGGCGCGAGGTGGCTGTCACGCCTTCCCCACGGCGCACCTGTAAGTTTGCGAGCAAGTTCTGGCGTTCTTCCTCAGAAAAACACTGCTTATAAGCCTGAAAGGAGTAAATGACCTGTTAATACCACACCATCCACAGCCATTCTTCATCTATGAACAGAGGATGGGAAGCTTGTGTTGGAGGAAGAGAATCTGTCCTCCCTCCCTGATCAGTGTTGACTCTGATCTCAGACCCGCACTGTTGACTTACAAGGCATTCTTGGGCCCTCACCAATGCTGTCCATGGAAACTGGGAGTCCACCAAGGCCACAGCACACTGGGCAGTGACCCCTGGAATAGCATACCTGGATCAGGAGCTGTGGGGAGGGATAGGCATCCACAATGGCACTGGCCATCTCCAGGCTGACCCGGTTCAGCTGCTGAATCTGTCTCCTCCAGACCAGTGCAAGCCCCCTGCCAGAGCGGTCCACCTTGGCCCCTCCAGCCCAGTCATTCTCCAGGCAGAAGGAGAAACTAGTTTGATCTCGGAGCTTCCTGCAAACAGCGCAGTTGAGGAGCTAAAAGTCATGCATTTCTCTGCTGCACTTGAGCTTGGAAGAGGTGTGCACAATGTTCCACCCAAGCAATGCTAGTTGCTTAAAAACTAGATTCCCTTAAAAACATTTACGCCTTTTCATTCAAAGAGAAATTACCAGAAAGTTACCAGATTCTTGCTTACGTTGAGATTGGGCTCCATTTGGGGAAGCAGTGTGCACAGGAGTAGGCACAGGGGACTGGGTATCAGGCAATTTAAGAGTCTAGATCTGGTTCTTCTAATTTGCTCGCAACTTTTGACAGGTTGGTCTCTTCAGGCCTCAGTTCCCTCAGGTATAAAATGAAGGACTCAATTGTCTCTCAGGTCTCATTAATTTTAAGTTCTGACTATGAACAGCCCTTGAGCTAAGTAGGCTAAAAAATTGTTTTACAAAAGCTTGTTTCATTGTGACCTGATCTGCAATGAATCCTGGTACCTTGGCCCACTGATAACCCAGTACGAATCTGCAGAACATAAACTTACACATAAGCTCAAGTGTTAATCGCTCAGTTGTGTTTGACTCTTTTTGCAACCCCATGAACTGTACCTCTTGTCCATGGAATTCTCCAGGCAAGAATACTGGAGTGGATTGCCGTTCCCTTCTCCAGGGGATCTTCCTGACCCAGGCAGTGAACCCAGGTTTCCCACGCTCCAGGCAGATGCTTTACCATCTGAGCTACCAGGGGATCCCTACACATATAAGCTAAAGAGAACATTTTAAAGGGACCAGACTTGAAGGCTCCTTCCAAGAATCCCCAGGGTTAAGTAGGCTGCTTCTGCCTCAAGCTTGAGCAACAAGAGACTAGCAGCAGAGTCAGGGGAAGGAGACACCTTTGGGTACCAGAATCACTGTAAAGACCAAGGCCCAGCAACTGAGCCAGGACTTGACGGGGGCACTCACTTGAAGGGTGCTTCGGCCACGGCCTTCGTGAACGCGCATGCCAAGTCAGCCAGCTCTTTCCAGCTCTGCACAATTCGAGCCTGGGCTTCTGTGTGCAGCTGCAGATCTACCAGTGCCTAGAAACCCCAAAGCAGGATGGACTGGAAGAGTATGGAGAGACTATTCTCCTCTCACTGTTCACTGAAGCTACACCCCAGTCCCTTGGCTCCCTGTTTGGCCCTTCTTTCCTACCTAGTGCCAGGGCAGAAAGTAGTGTCCAGCAGGCATTTTACTCTTTAGCAACTCAGGTTAGAGGAGAGTGGGTGCCCACGCTGATTCAGGCAACAGTTCTTACCTCTTCTATATCTACCCTGGTCACCATGGCCACCGTGTTGGCCTCTGGTTGTTTCTGCTGCTGCTGCTTCTCCTTGGCCTGTCCTCTATTTGCCACTCTCTGTTTCCTTCTTAGAGGATTCGGAGCACTGGAGCAGGGGAGGAAATCAAAAGGGTAGCAGCTCCAGGATGAGCTCAGGAGAGGTGTGAGAAGGCTGGACCAGAGAGTCACAAAGGGCTAACAGGGATGCTGTTTTGCAAAGGGACCCAGATCTGGGATGAATACATTCACCCCTGTTGGCCCAAGAGCTGCCCCTTTTAATACTAAGTCTTGAGGACAAATCCAAACCTGAAGCACTTCTCTGGATCCACAATCACCAGTGACAGATCTTTCCCAGCTGTCCTTGCTGTGATATCAGTCACAAAGCTCCGAAGTGTTTCCTTCCCTTCCTCAGTGCTGCCCAGACGTCCCTGCGTGAAGGGGCAGAAACTGCATGAATGTCTGCTCCCTAGAGCCAGCCCTCAGCCTGGCCTCAGCACCCACCCCTCTGGCTGTACCCACCTGCTTGAAGTGGTAGATCATAGACATAAACACCTTTGCCAGAAGCAGCACCAGAACCATGGGCTCTTCCACCCAGCCCTCCTCGCCATCCTATTAAAGGGCACAGAACCCCGCAGAGGGAGGCAGGTCAGCAGGTGCTCAGCACCTGTGAGAGAAACCCAGGCCTTCTAGGTGAATGACTTCATCCCCATTGGCCTAGTCCATTTTGCAGTATCCTTTTTCTTCTGGAGTGAAATCATGGTGGCAAGAAATAGTAACCCATGATTCTGTCCCTCCCATTCCTCAATGGTTCAACCTTGGTGTACTGCACTTTAGAAGTAGTGAATATGAAAGGGGCATTAATGAGTTGAAATGGGCTGAGCAGTAACTGCCAATATTCTATGCATTTTGAATTGGGGAATAGAGGGTAGGAAACTCTTCTGAAGAATCTAGAACAAATATGTAATTTGGGCTTTGAGGGTAAATGCGAAGTATGAGATGAGTGGCTCTTGGAAAGGAATAGGTTTGGTGTGACAAAGATAAGAATCACCAAGGAAACTTCGGTCTGTGAGAGCACCTCTCTTTCACCACACTAAGGCATAATCAAACAAAGCCAAAGTCACATAACGATCCACAATCCTACAGTACAGTATTAACCAATATGAAATGGCAGCACTACCCCAGATGGAGAAACTAAGTAAAAGCTGTTATTATATGAGGTACGGTGCTGTCCCGTGTAGTTTGCTTGCACCCTGCCCACGCCTTGAAAAACAGCCCTTTATTAAACCCTCCTCAAATGTATACTAAGCTGAGTGTGCCATCTGCTTTCCAGTTGGGGCCTTGACTGAGATACAGTCTTTAGAATAAAAGCATATTTATCCTGTAACTCTGAGGAGGAGGAGAGACAGCAGTCAGAAAACCCCTACCTCAGAGGGCCCAGCCCTTCTCCTCCACGTGAGGCTGCAAGGCACAGCCTGCGCCTCAATCACACAGCAGCAATCCATGGACTGCAGGGCTCCAAGGAGCTGACCCCCACCTTCCGTCTGCAAGAGCACTGCAACAGATGGGAAAGGGATGGTCAGCGGGGCCCAGAAAGCAGTTTACCCAGCAGCAGAGAAAGAAAGATGCCTGTAGGACCTGGATCCAGCAGCACAACGATGTGCTTTAAGCACTCCTCTGGCCTCTGAGCTTTCAGCCTGTTAGCCAGGGCTACCTTCTTCTTCCTTTCCTGTTGCCTCTGGGTGCTTTCCTTCTGGCTTGCTCGTCCCCACTGCTGCCATCCCTGTGTGCTTCTCTTCTGGACCTTCTGACTATACTTGCGTCTCTTCTGAGGCAGGGGCGCCTCAGCATTTGTTTTGGTTATTGTCAAGCTGTTGCTCTGGACAGAGCAGGTAGTTTGGTAGGCTGGCAGCTGATGGCATGGATTGTCAACCACAGGGTCCTTGTTATTTGATGCATGCCTCTCTGAGGTACCACAGAGGGGAATATCACGGATCTTTGTAAACAGCTGTTTTTGCCAGTCATGTGATGCTCCTTCATTATTTTGATCCAAAACCCTTTCAAATGGGGAGCTGGATTTTTCAGGGCTCAGCTGTTTGTGAGTCAAAAACTTACAAATAAGCCTCTCAGCCAGGGGCATAAATTCCTCCTCATTCTCACTTCCACTGCTTAGCACCCTGACTGGCTCTGTTTGTATGACAGTTTCAGCTGCCTCTGGAATGGGTGGTGGTTCTTTCCATTTTGGTGATGGACAGGAGGCCTCAGAATCTGAGATGTCAACCACTACAATCTTCTCATCCTCCTGAGGCTGCCTCCTCTTTATTGAAGACAGTTTCTTTTTCAGAAAGGCAAATGTTGGCAGCTCCTCAGAGTCACTCTCACTGGAATCCAGTGAGAGTGGTGACTTCTTTATAGCCATCAGTATGTGCAATCAAATTAATTCCCTGCAATGACAAGAGAGATGAGACACAAACTGTAGCACTGAATTCAGTTCAGTTGTGTTCTATGGCCAAGCTTTATGGAAATAAATGATATACAGAGAAATGAAGAAACAGAGAAATAGGACACGGTCCAATACAATCAATCTGGAACTCAGAACAGCTATGTTTGTAGTCTAACAAGAACCCTCCTCATATCCCTTCTAGGTCAAGGTGAGGATAAACAAAGTGGAGGTTACTATTAAAAAATGTTCATGAGGTGGGAACAAGACCCAATACCACCTCTTTACCAATCTCTGCATGTAAATCGGAGATATCAAGAGTCATTCTTTTTTAACTGAGATATCACTCACATACCATAAAATTCCATCCTTTTAAAATGTACACAATTCAGCAGTTTTCAGTATATTTGCAAGGTTGTATCACCATCACTACTATCTAATTCCAGAACACTTTCATCATCTCAAAAAGAAATCCCACAGCCATTAGGCATTCAGTCCATTTCCCCTTCCCTGGAGTCCCTGGCAATGATAAACCTACTCCTGTCTCTACAAATCTACTACGTATTCTAGATAGTTCACAGAAATGGAGTCCTAAGTATGTGAACTCTGCTGACTGGCTTCTTAGCATGTTTTCAAGGTTCATTTATGTTGTAGCATGTGTCAGGATTTCATCGCTTTTTATAGCTGAGTAACACTTCACTCCATTGATGTGCCACATTTTGTCTATCCATTCATTTGGTGGACATTCTGTTTGATTCCATTGTTGACCATTACAAATGCTGCCATGAACATTCACCTCCTAGTTTTTGTGGGAACGCTTTCAGTTCTCTTACAGAAATATCTAGGGTTGCAATTGATGAATGGTGCGCAAGACAATCTGAACATACTAACACTGCAGGATGAGCCATGTAACCTCTCCCGGCCACGCTTTTTCAGTAAAACAGGGATAGTCACATTACCTACTTTACAAGAATTACTTAAAAATAATTTTTTTTAAAGTAATTCATCTACAGAGCTTAGTACTGTATCTGGCACGCAGGAAGTGCTCTGTAAAGTAAGCTGAACGACTAGGGAGGGACCTCCCTATCCCCGCTCAGGCCTCGGTTAAAGTGTTAGTCACTCAGTCAGTCGTTTCTGACTCTGCGACCCCATGAACTGTAGCCTGCTAGGCTCCTCTGTCCGTGGAATTCTCCAGGCAAGAATACTAGAGTGGGTGCCATTCCCTTCTCCAGGGGATCTTCCGAACCCAGGGATCGAACTCGGTTCTCCTGCATTACAGGCAGTTTCTTTACCGTCTGAGGCATCAGCCTCGGTAACTCTGGCAAAATGCGGGTATTGGACAAGCAGGCCCCTGCTGAGCTCGCTCCACGTCTCTCCCGCAGGCACAGGGCGGACAGCTCGTCCACACGCGGCGGCAAAGGCCGCGGCCACCAAGCCCCGGCAGACCCTGCCTCAGGAAGTAGGCCCTACATCGCCGGCCCACCAGCAGCCCAGCCCAGCAGCGCTCACCAGCAAATTGTCGCGCCACTCTTTCGTACCACGCAGGACCCGGAAATAGATCTCCCGGTAGCGGAAGCACATCTCTAACACCGGAAGCGGGAGCACGCAAAACATGGCGTTGGCGGTGCTGGCGTGGAGGACCCGGACTGCTGGTAATCGGACGCCGTGGTCGTTGCGGCGCCAGGGGTAGAAGTGCAGTGGAGACCTTGCAGGGAGCCTGAGGATGGAGGCGGTACCCCGTGGAGGATCCTGGGGGAAGGAGGAGACTGGAAGAAATGTGCGGGGCAGTCGTTGGTCACGTGACATCTGGGGCGTGGAGCACATGACCTTACCTGGATTGGCTTGTTCATAGTTTCCCTTGCTGTTGTTTGCCTCCTCCACTGTCTGGGTTTCTTTGGATCCTTTCATCTACAAAAATAGGTTGCTATCGTTGGCACATTGGCGCTCAAAAAGTTAATCCGTTCGTTCAGTAGGTTGAGGTCTGCCTTTGTGCTAGACACTGGTAGGTGTTGAGGATCTCAGCAGAGGAGATGAAGGCAGTCTCTAGCCCCAGGAGAGTTACTTGTAACAGATAAACCAGTAAATAAGCACATAAATAAAATTGTGAATCATTAAAGGTGCTGTGACTGAGAGGGAAAAATGTGTCTGTGTCTTTTAGGTTGGGTAGTCAGGGAAGCCCTCTGAGGAGGTAAAATATAAGTTAAGACCTTAAGGATGGTAGGAGGCCTGGTTTTGTAAGAGAGTGAGGGGCAAGAGAATGATTTGATCCAATTATCCATTTTGAGAAGGAAGCTCTTACTCCTCTATGAGTTTAAAAGGAGTAGGAATAGAAATGAGGAAACCAGATGGGAAATAGTAACAGTAGGCCTGATGAAGTATGGTTTAGTCAGGATGTTGGTGTCAGTGAACTTGGAGGGAAATGGGTGGATTTGAGATCTGTTTTGGAGATAGAATCCAGAGCTTGCTGGTGGACTCCCTCCATGCCTGAGGTTAGCGAAGGCAAGGAATCTATGACGACTCTCCGACTTCTGCCTAACCAACTGTGTAGGTGATAGCATCATTTTCTTTGAGGAGGATGAGGTATAGGGTGAAGGGGAAAGATTTGTGAATGAGATAAGGTAGGTAAAGCCAAAGTCCAGTTTCTTCACTTTAGTGAGTGAACAAATGTATAGGTGTTTAAAGGTACGTAGGTCCTGATGCTGGGCATTTAATATGTTGTCTCTCTAAGTCCTTATCTCTGGTCCATTGCCCCAGCTAGTCTCTGTTCTAACTAAAACTTCAGAAACCTAGGTTTTAGGAGCTATGAACTGACAGGCTCCAGGGTCGCACAGGGTTCTCTAAAGACTCTGGCATGACCCTGATTAACACAGCTGTATCTGGAGACCTGAATGCAAGGATTACCAATCCTGGGCTTGTCATATAGCACAGGGCTTCCATCCTGGTCAGCATGAATTTTAGTTCACTTTCCTTTTTAAAATAAATACCATTGAGCACTTTGGAATGAGGATGGAGAGGTCAGATTAACAAGGGCATGGTTATCAATCAGTCTTCCCTATGCTTAATGGGCTTGCCAAACAAAGAGACCAGCCTTCTGAACTGCACAGGAGCCTGTGGGAGCCACCCTCAGAGAGGCTGCCCTTTTTGTTTACAAGTATCTGGTGTGCTATGGATGGGTGGATCGCTAAGAAAGTGGTGGGTGAGGTCAAAGCAGGAGCCTCTCTCTGGGTGTTCTGTTGTTGGGCTCTGTGGTCTGGCCCCTCCACAGTGCCTGGAGTCTTGAGGGTATAATGGTGAGTGAGGCTGAAACAGGCAGCTCTGTGGTGTCCTCTTGCTGGCTTCTGTTTCTGTGGTTTTGTTTCTCCTCAGTAGGACTAGATGTGTCAGGGCACATGGTATTTTTTTTTTTCCATTAATATTTTACTCCCTCCCCCAAACCCTAGGCCACACACACAGCTCATGTAGTGCTTACACTGTGGACAATACAAGGACTTAAGACATTCCCTGAAAACCCACACAGTCAAGTGGCATTTCTGCTCACATATCTTCACTTCCCCTGAAAATGCCCCCTGCCACCTCTCAGTTTAACAAATGGCCCACTGAGGCAAAGAATGAGAGTCTCCTGGGAAGCCTCTCTGTTTGAACAACATTTCTGTTCTCTGTGTAGTTACAGCCATGCTGAGTCCTCCTCAGGCTGCACCTCTTGCTGTCAGATATGCCTCCAAGAAGACAGGTGGCAGCTCCAAGAACCTTGGTGGAAAGTCTCCAGGCAAACGCTTTGGCATCAAGAAAATGGAGGGTAAGGGTGTGGCCTGCCTTCCACTTCCCACTTAGCAACCTCCTGTGCTGCCCTGGTGTTCCTCTGAAGGGCAGGCAAACCACACAGGTGCCTGGCCCTGTTCTCTCCATGTTGCTTACCAGAACATTTAGTTCCAAATTAAAGAAGCAGATAAGACCTGAGGCAAGGTGGAGGGGCTGAGGAAGAGCAAATAGGTGGGAACCTTGGCCATGTGACTGGAAGTGGCAGTTCCCAGGGAGGGGTTGCGGGCTGCTTGTGTCAGACTCTCCGGGAGTTGGGCCTTTCCAGGGCCGGGTCTGCAGGTTGGTATGCAGCATTTGGGCCAGGAAAAGCGGGGGCTACTGTGTTTTCTTAGCAGTTTGCTGTCTGCCTCATTGTTGGCACCCAAAGGCAGCGCACTTGTGGACTTCTCTTCTAGGTCACTATGTTCATGCTGGCAACATCCTCGCGACTCAGCGCCACTTCCGCTGGCACCCAGGTGCCCATGTAAGTGGCTTTGTGCTTCCCTCCCACCCCCACTTTTCCTTCACCGCTCCATGCTCCTGAGCACAATAATTGTAACAGTTGCAACTGTTGGGTGCATACCAAATGCCAAGCATCATGCTGATTCCTGGGCCTACATTCTCTTATTTCATCTTTACTCCCATCTCGAGGGTAGGTATGTATCATCTGTATTTTACAGGTGGGATACCAAAAACTTAGAAAGGGGGTAGTGGGGTAGTGACAGAACTGGGATTTGAACCAGGTCTGCTGCCTCCCAGGCCACTTTTTTGTCTTGGTAATAGTATCAGCCTCATTCTCTTAGGTCTCTTTTCTAACCTCCATTTCTTAGAAGAGGAGATTTCTAGTGATTTAAGATATTTTTTTAATCTTGAGAAACTAATCTCAATTATTCATTTTTTCTTATTTTTAAGAATTCCTCTTTTGCATAAAGTTGTTATTAGGGGCCTGAAAGATAACTTGAATTTAATAAAATAGGATTCAGTATATGGGCCAGAAATTAGGTCCATACCAGGAATTTCAGGAATTTCAGCATCAGCAAGTTAGTATCACTTGCTAAGGTAGGAAAGTTCTTTAACACAGACCTATGCTCTAGTCTTTACATTGTTTAAAAAGTTAGTTTAGTTTCCTCTGTAATCAATTTCTTCCTCCCTTCTTACCTCTTTTTTGGCAACTTTAGTAGGCACAGAAAGACTGATAGTAACCCATAATTATTTCAAAAATGCTAATTTGTAAGTGAATTGACTGTATGTGTAGTAACTTTTTTTTTTTAGGAACTCAAGACATTCAATATGTGGCTGTGTTCATTTTTAGTTCTACTAAAATAATGACAAAAATAATAAAAGCTAATATGTTTTGACCTGGGCAGTATTTTAAGCTCTTTCTGATTATTAACTCAATTTAATTCTCAAGATGACCCTATGAAGTAGTTAATATCTATCCATATTTTGCAGTTGAAAAAAGTGAGACACAGTGAAGTAAATTAACTTGCTCAGATCACACAGTAGTAAGTAGTAGCGCTGGGGTTTGAACCAGAGTCTGTTCTTTTGAGAGATACTGAATAATGCAGGACTGCCTGGATAAAACTTGCCACACATCTAATCTCAAGTTCAGTAAAAGAAAAAAGCTAAGATATGTATAGTTAATAATATGTATATATTTAATAAATAGTTTATTTTAATCTCTTTGCCCATATTTCTCACCTGAAAATCAGGTTTAGACATAGTACCTACTTCACAAGGTGAGAATTGAGTTAATGTGTATAATATTGCTTGGAATAGTGCTTATACACAGTATGACAGTATTAGCTTATATCATTACTTTTGTTAAATTAGCATATGCATTATCTATATAGCTTTGAGCCTAAACTTCACCATATAGATGAACATGTTGCGTCAAACTAGTGTTATGTTAAGCCTCCCAGAAGCAGGCTCCCAGGAGCAGTGATCAGACCTTTTCCTGGGCCTGGTTTGGGCATCTGTCCAGTGTGGCTTCTGGCCACCTGTACATAGAGGTCCAGGCATTAGCCCTCAGGGACTGAATAACCACTAGGATTAGCTGTTGGAGTTTTCTTTTCCCACCTTTATCATGGAATCATTACCAAGCCCAGAGGGAAAGGGAGCCTTAGATGGAGCTTTCTGAACCCTCCCTTTTGGCCCCAGGGCCTGAATCTTTGTGAAGAGTCTATCCTAGAGCCCTGGGATGGGCCCCCCTGGCTGTCCAGCTGACTACTCTGTGTGTTGCAGGTGGGACTGGGAAAGAAGAAATGTCTGTATGCGCTGGAGGAGGGGGTAGTCCGCTACACTAAGGAAGTCTACGTGCCCAATCCCAGCAACTCGGAGGCTGTGGATCTGGTCACCAGGCTGCCCGAAGGGGCTGTGCTCTACAAGACTTTTGTCCACGTGGTTCCTGCCAAGCCTGAGGGCACCTTCAAACTGGTAGCTATGCTTTGACCTCCTGGTTGAGGCCTTTGGAGCCCAGGTGACAGGAGAGGATGGTACCAGACGTCATCAAGAGTTGGAGCGATGACAAGGCCTCCCAGTAAAGAAGTCTGCTTGGTGGTGACTGCAAGAGACTCTGAAGTGATTGGTGGAAGCCCTTTGGGAGACCTGATCTGGAGCCAACAATAAAGTTAGCTAGAGTGGAGTTTCTGCTATTTGGGAACAAACCTGGATGGAGCAGCATACTGATCTGTTTATTCATGTTCTCAGGTGTACACAGGGGAATAAGTGGGGACTCCAGAGGAAGGACTTTCCTCCTTCCACAAGGAAGAGGAGAGCTTGTACTTGAGGGTGTCATAGCTCCTTCCCCTCCTGGATCCCACAGAAGTCAGGCTGGGAAAGAGTGGGGAGGAGGGGCCAAGGGGCCAATAGAGAAACCCAGTGTGGTCGTGTTCTTTCCTGGAGCCACATTCAGAGGGAAATGCGGCAACAGCCCCAGAAATGGCCTCGTGGCAGACCCCTTCCTACCTGTGTGGGTCCAGGGCAGAGAGGCCCCGTCTGGCCTGGAATACCAGGGTCCTTCCAGGGATGAGGCAGATACATCACTGGATACAATTCCAGGGATGAGACAGATTGGGTGACAAATGAGCTGCTTCCTTCTCAACCAGTGACACATCGCACTGGCTTTGTTTTCTGATTCTTGGTTTATCACACATCGTAAACTACAGCCAAGAATCTGGCTTCAGGAATACTCACTGGTCCTAGAGTAGGCTGAGAGCAGGCCTTCATTGTCCACCAAAGACCTTTACAATCTTGGCTTGAGTGGAAGGGTGAGGAAGGAAGTCTCAGTAGGGATGCACAGTCATCCTGGGTGTTAGAGGCAGGCGATGTTGGCTGTAGTCCCAGAGAGAACTTGCATAGTTAGTGGCTTCCTCCCAAGGACTATTCTCTGCCCTGAAGGCAGGAGCTTCAGGGGTTGAGGGCAGAGAAGTCTTAATTCTGGAGGTCTGCTTTGGATTTGTCACCTTGATTCTTTGGGCATGACCTCAGATTTCCTACCTCCTGCACAAGTGACCCAGGGTATGTTGAGGTCTTGTACTAAGGCCCAGCTGGAGGAGATTGCTGGGAGCATCTCCATAGGCTCGGTGCTGTCCCTGCCAGTACCTTGGAGAAGCAGGAAGGGGCAAGATGGAAGAACTGCTCCCTCTCCTACAGTGTTTCCCTGAGCAAGCAGTTGGCTGCTTCCTGTGGTGGGTGAGCAGAGCCTGGTTGGGTGGTGGTGCAGATATGACCTTAGGGCCGCCTCATAGCGGATGGCAGCTGGGAGAGGTAGAGCAAAGACATTACCCATTTCCTTACAATCCCACCCCCACCCCCGCCCACACACACTCCTGCTCCCTCTCTGGCTTTTGCTTTCTGTGTCTCCTCTCCCCCAGTGATGGTTGTTCCTGGAGACAAGTTGAATCTTAGAGCTGTTGTCTCCATGGAAACTTTTCCTGCCCAGGCTAAATCACTTCCCTGGACTAGGATCTGCCATCCTTTACCAAAGAGGTGAAGTGGAGCCTCTAGCCAAATAGGCTCTCTATCTGTGATCTTTCCTTGTCCCAGGGGCTCCTATTAGGCGTTTACATACAATTAAAAAGTAATAAGGAAAAAGTGCTGAGTTCTCCAGGGCACTCAAGGGTGGGAGGACTGAACATTAACTTCCCTGCAGGCCCAGAGCCAGAAGCACTGTGCAGTCAGCTGGAGCATCTGCTGCTGCTGGTCCTTTTGAACACTCATAGTTGGACAGGGAAGCTGGCTCCCATAGCGGGAGCTGGTAGCTGCTTTGCAAGCTCACCACCCTGAGGATAGCCCTGTGACTGAGGGAGCCAAGCAGGCTTACGCAGCTGTTCTTCAGCTTCCATCTGGGCCCTTTCCACCAGGATGAACCTAAGATCAGAATGCCACACACTTTTCTCTCCAAGTCTCTCTACAGTTCCTCCCCTCCTTCCTCTGGCCACTACATCCTGGCACACCTCCCCCCACCCGACTCCCAAGTGGCAGCCCCAGGGGTCCTATCTCACCTGCATCGCCTGGGCCTCTCAGCACCTTTCCACTGCCTGGACCTTGGTGGGCGGTCCCATGGTGCTAAAGGGAGAGGTGTACTCCTAGGGACCATGAAGGATGATTCAGAGTGAGGCTCAGGGTTTACGGTCAGTGAGCAAGAGAGCAGAACCCAAACCTTTTCGTCCCCATGTCCCTGCCCCCATCTTGTTCATTCTCTTCCTCCACTAGTCCAAAGCACAAAGCCCAGACCCTTAGCATTTCAGAAATGCACTCAGGTATAAATTCCACTGTTCTCTGTTCTCTGGCCACAAGCTCATTCTTGGCAGCCAGCTCTGATGACACTTGTGGGAAAGTCAGAGAATACCTGTCCTCACCTCTCCATCTTCTTTGTCTGATGCTCCGGGTTGGGGTTGGAACTGGGGAGGCTGCAGGACCAAAGATTTCTTTTGCTTTTTGTACCCAGCATCCCCTGCAGTGCCCTGTACCGAGAAAGACTGACAATACTGTAGTCACCACCACAGAAGTCAGCGCTGGGCTTCCCCTTAGGAGCTGGGGAGAGTGTGGGCTTCCAGCTGCTTGGAAGAGCTGGGAAGACCATTGTCTTCACCAGCAGCTCCCAGTACAGGGTCCTGTTGCTGAAGTGCCGGGGAATAAGCTGGCCAGGATGTTGTTAATGTTTTTGACACTTTCCTTGGCCCCGAGGGAACCCAGACTGGAAGATGCAGTGTCCACAGAGTAGACCCAGAGGCCCCGTCCATACTGAGCAGAGAAAGTGGATGCCCTTTTGTGGTGATTGGGGTAGGAGGCCATAAAGGTAAGGGGTTAGTGGGTAGCCATATCTACATATTGGCTGGGGCTCCAGAAGAATTGATGAGAGCAGGGGATGTGGCAGTGCTGGGGCTTCGTGGGTACAGCCGCTCAGCAGGATGGTCATGATAAATACCAGCATGGAACTCCTCCCACAGAGCCACCAGACACTGAGTTCAGCCTGGGTCTGGCATGCACAAACCCAGCTCACCTCCCCAGACTGTAATTCTACTCCAGAAGTTGGGTAGGAATGACCTGCTGGGACTAGGATCAGCTTCACATGCATGGGAAACTGAGGGGGCAGGAAGCTCCCTTTTTGCCGCTACATCCATTTCCTATGGCAGAGGTTTGTGAGGAGGACAGAGCAGCTATATCCTGTCTTCCTTCAGCCCAGGGAAGGAGTAATGTGTGTAATGGAGTTTACAGAGGACAGACTCGGAGGAGAAAGAGCTTGTGGCAGGGGCGGACACCCTTAGAAACTCAATCAGAGGGAGGACTCAAGCGTCAAGTCAGACTCCTGGCACCTAGCCTCTAGAACTCAGCAGGAAAGGGACCTCAGGGTTCATATACCAACTGTACACAGCATTCTTCCCAAGTGGTTTGCACTAGGTGACCCTATAGATGAAGAGGCTGGACTTCTGGCCTCCGCTGAGGGGCCAAGGGTGCATCTGCCCCAACTCTGACGGGACAGCAAGAGGTATTCACCAGTGGCCACAGCTATGGCTAGGAGACTGTTCTCCATGGTGCCCTCTGCAAGGGCAGCAGTGGTGGCAGAGGGGTGCCAAGAAAAGGCACTTTCTTAAACGATCTCAAGGACAGCCACAAGACAGGCTTCCTCTGCACCCGCACAACCCACCATCCCCACAGGGCCAACCCCCAACCCAGGATCCCTGATCCAGAGGAGCAGCTTCATTCAAACCCAGGGTGTCTGTGAGCAGCCTTCCAGGTTCTCAGCTTCTGCCCCTGATCTGTTCCATGGCAGGACCTAGGGTCCCATAGATGACACCACTCTGCAGGCCTGGCAGCCACGAGTATCAACAACCCGCAGAAGAAGGGGCTGGCAGGAACAGGCTAGGCTTCTGCTAACCCCAGAAGACAGCCAAGGGGGCTCCACTCACCCAGATCTATGCACCTCTCAGTCAGGATCCCCTCCCAGCCCTACTCTGCCCCGCCCCCTGCTTCCCAATGGCCCAGCTAACAGGGCTCCAAATGCCAACTGACTGTCCTCTGGTCTTTGCTCTCCTCTCTAATGGAACAGAAGTGTCCATGGTTGTCCTGGAAACCAGGCACAAAACAGGAAAGACTTCCCAGTGTCTCTCCCTCCATCCAAAGGGACTCTTGTGCAGCTCTGGGGGCCCTGCCGCCTTCCACCACCCTACTTCCACCTGGCTGTTACCCTAGTTTTGACCCCAGGGGTCCAACCAGGGGACTATTTCAAAGCCTCAAAAAGCTCAAGCCTTGGGGCTGAGCTATCCCTACCGAAGGATGAGGGTGGAGAACAGTCAGAGAAGCTGCACTCCAACTTGCCTCAGTGACCGGGACAGGGAGAGGACTGGAGAGGCCCTCTGAACCTGTCAGGAGTCGTGAAGCCTACTCCTGGTCCTGCATTGCTTCTAACTCAAGGGGCCAAGACAAACCAGCCAGAGCAGCGGGGGTGGGGGGACTTCTGGTTCTGCCAGCCTGCAAATTAGAATTGCCAGGGGGAGTTCTGAACCCACATCAGTGTTGAGCTGCCACCTCAGACCGGTTAACTCAGAACCCTCAGTTTGGATTTCCATCCACTGAGCTAAGCTCAAAATGTTCACAGCAGGTGACTGTGTAACCAGGACTTGGTGTAATTGGACAGGAGTGGCAGGGGCTGAAATAGGACACGTCCCACCTAAGTTCAAAAAAATAAGACTCTTTAAACAGTTGTGCTAGTCCAGCGACAGCATAGCCACAGCCTGGCCTGTGCATCTTTAGCAGATTCTAAATGCTGCTTATGCCTGATACTCTACACCTAGTTATTACATTGTTTTAATAGAGCTAAAGGTTGATGTAAGACAGAACAAAACCTTTTAGAGAACCAAATCAGAGCTTCAAATGTTCACTAAAATAGGAGCCAGAAAAAAGCAATCATCTCAGCCCTTGAACCCAAACACTATTTCCTCGAAGTTCTTGGTGTTACCTTCTTCCTCTTTACCTGCCTTAGCAGCATAGGAGAATGTAGTGACAGAGTGCCGTGGAATCCTCCTGCCTCCTTCTGAAGCATGCAGCCACCATCTAATAGCTTTAACTTTGGGTTCATTTCACTTTCCTGGCCTGCTAAAGGAAAATACGAACATTGCCTGCCTCAAAGAGGTGTGAGGATTAAGTGACATGTTCCATGCAAGGTCAGTGCAGTGGCTGAACAGATGAACATCCCAACACTGCCATTGGTGGACAGTGGTGCCCTCTCCTGGCAGCTTGAAAAACTTGACATATGGCAGCCGGGGTTCAAACTGAGCTTTGTTTCCCAAGCTGAGGTGACTGGGCCAGCATGACTGGATAGATAGGGTGATTTTAAAGGTTCTCAGAAAACTTCACCCTTGTTCCCACATTAAGTAAGCTGTGAAGGACTGATACTGAGCCATGGCTGGCAATGGCAGGAAAGTAGGACGGGAGAAAGGGCTTGAGAGAAGGAGGGAGGCTGGACAAACCTTTCCAATATGGTTCTCCTAGGTCCTAAGGCAGTGGATCGGAACCCATGCCACTGCTGCTCCTGCTTCTAAAGGGGGCAGTGGTAACCACCAGGTCCTGGCTGGAACTGGCTGCCTCTGTTCTTGAGGTGCCCCATACAAAACTCTGAGCTGGGCAAGAAACAGAGCAAAGGCTTCTGGGATGGGTGGGCCCTGGTGACTCCAAAGACAGAGAAGTCAGCCTCTGCCTCGGCCTGGCAGCAAGCGAGGAAGTGCTGGGTCAGGACTCTGAAGAACTGAACTGGCTCACCTGGTGGCCCACTGGGTGGCAATGAGGATGTCTCTGAGCCTCTCTGGGCCTGTTTACCCCTCATAAAGGAGGGATCTGGATTATGGGTTCTTGTGTCCCTTCTGGCTCTTGGATGGATTTTAAACTGTTCTCACTCTGGGGCAATTAGACCCTCCACCTTCTGCCAAAGTACCAGCCAAAACTTTTAGAAGACGGCCCAACAGTGCTGGCTCTCTGACACCCAGGAGGAAAAACACAGAGGCTCCACTGAGAGAGAGAGATATATATTTCTTCTGTTGCATATTTCAGACTTCACACTGAGCTTCAGGCACAATGCTGTTCCAGGTTCTTCTGAGAGCCCTGGCACAGTCTTCTTCCCATGTTGCTCATGAGGGCTTACCACTCCAGGGCAGAAGCCCAGGCCCTGCTTGCAGTTCTGGGTACCTGGGAGATTGCAATGGTCTCAGCAGGCCCTGGTGCCCTGTCTTTCCCATCAAGGGGCAGGGTATGCTGGAAAGCCCTAGAGCCAGCCCCGCCCCCTCTTCTATGGTCCCCTGGCTACAAGAGGAGAGGCTGACCCATTAGAGTCCAGCTCTGCAATGCTTCCCTAATCACCTGTTCTCTAGCTCTCAGAGCCTGCCATAGTACTTGTAGCCCCAGAAAGCCTCAGCCGTGAGCACCTCAGGCCAAAGCTGGGGGATGAGGCCCTAGAGAGTGAGGCAGACCCAGCCTCCTCCAGAGCAGCAGCAGATGGGCTTGTCTGGCCCCTGCTCCCCAGAGCCTTGGCCCACTTCCTGGCCCTGCTCTGGGCCCTATTGCACATCTTTTGTTTCCAGTTCATTCCCCACCACCCATTTTTCTTTTAAAAAAAAGAAAAAAAAATTAGAAGAGAAGGTGAGGAAGCTAGAGCCCTTCTCCCCATGTTCCTGCTAACATCTGGTCCCCAGCAGAGCCATTTCAGTGGTAAATACTATGCCCACCTTCCCTGCCGTCTGTGGGTTCTTGGTGGCTGATAAGGGTGTACAGCCTGGGCCTCTGGTTCTTGCCTGTGAGGGAGACAGCCCTCTGTCATCTGTAAGGTGCAGTTTCCCGGGTCTTCCGGAGGCGCTGGCTGGGACCCTGCTACCTGAGTCGCCCATCTGCTTTGACAGGCCCCAGCTCTGATTTGGGGTCCGGGGACAGAGAGCTCCAGCTGGTCAGTCTGCAGAGCTCCAGGGAGGGACAGGTGGAGGGGCCCATGGCACACAGTCCGGCCACAGACCAGAAGCTGCTTAGTTCCCCATCTGTCCAGGCCTCCAGCGCTGGGCCAGTGAGCTCTGCATGTAGTCGGGCAGCCTCCTCCGCAGGCTCTGGCTGAGGCAGGTTCAGGATGCCACTCAGGCCCTGGAAACTCTGTTCCATATACTCGTTGTGGGGTGGCCCAGCGTGCAGCCAGCTGGCATCATCTGGGGGTGCAGAGCAGGAGTAAGCATGCCCCACCCGAAAGATCTCATGTCTGAGCACCCCAGTCAGTCCTGTCCCAACTCTACCACTGAGTCGCATCTTGCTGAGTGACTTTAGACTAATCCACAGAACTTTCTGTGCTTGTAAAACGTAGTTTTATAAAATCAAGACAATAATCCCCGAATTCCTAACTTGAGGATTAAATAAAACAGTGGGTTCAAGGTACTTTAGAAAGTAAGGTTATTTTCTGATAATGGTCTGGTTTGTGTCACCCATGCCCCTTCTCAATCACCTCCAGTGGTCTCCAGAGCCCTCAGAAGCCTAGTACTCAGGCCTTTAGGCCACAGGCCCTGCTTACTCTGCCGGCCTTCCTTCCCACCTCCTTTGGCATCCTACTCCCTTCCACCCTCTGTTCTCCTCATGCACTAGACACCTGCTAACTTTGTTCCCTCAGTTTAGAATATCCTTCATTGTCTATAAAAATCAGCTCCTTCAAGACTCAGCTCCAATAGCACTTGCTGTCAAGCTTGCCTCCACCACCCCACCCTTCATCTCCTCCATCAGACTGTGAGTCCTAGGAGAGCAGGGGTGCCTGTTCTGATCTGCCACAGCCACTGCCCCACCCTGGACCCCGTCCTCTTCTGGGTTACCTCTGCTCTGACCCACCTTCTCAGTGATGGGACATGGCTGGAGGAAGAAAACATCTACCTACTTACTGAATATCTACTGTATACCAACTACTTTTACCCAGATATTCACCCCTAATAGCCCCCAGAAGGTAGTCACTTGTATTGGGCCCCCTGCAGGAACCTACAGCCTACGCCTAGTTTAGAGCCTGTCTCCTAGCCTTAGCTATGTGACCTTCTCAACCTGGCTACCCATGGACTGGGAAGAGGACCAACATCAGATCTGCTGTCCTAAGAATGTGGAACTTGTGGACTGAGGGGCCCTGGTCAGTCTCCGTTGCACTGAGAGGCCATGTATTGAGAAGCCTGAGGCTGATCCAAACAGCACAGGATGAGAGACAAGGTGGCCCCGGAGAGACAGAAAGCACGTCTGAGTTCCAGTGGGACCTGACTCATTTCCTGAGTTCCGTGGGGGAAAGCCCCACATTTTTCCAATAATTTCCCCCTTTCCCCTGGAGCAATTTGAGTGGATCTATGTTCCACACACCCAGGAGTTCTCTAACAATTGTATTTCTCTTACTTTACATGTAATAAGACTGAGGCTCAGGAAGGCCCAGTAATGTGCCAAGAGTAAAAGCCCAATTAAAGTGTCAGAGCTGCATTCTAAAGCCAGGTCTGCCTGCCTGGGAAGCATAATACCAGAGTGCAGGGTTCTAGGATGCTTATGGATGGATGGGCAAAGCCACAATCTGCCCCCTTCCCCTTCTCTGACGGTTAGCTTCTTGGGATCACCTGTCTACAAATCCTATCCTGCCTGACTCCTGGGTATCATTTGGGAACTAGATACTTACCTTTCCTGAGAGGTAGTTTGCGGTTGAAGGTCAAGGGCAGCACGAGGAAGTGAGTCTCACCCAGGGGTTCCCAGAACTGAAGCAGTCGAACAGTCCAGGCCCCTGGCCGCAGGGGCCGACTCAGTGGGGGTTTGTACTGCGTGACCTCCGTTTCCGCGTCTACCACGATGTCATAAGATGTGGCCACCACATAGGTGGGGTCGATCCATACCACGGTGACTGTGAGGTTGGGGCCCCGGGCCCAGCGCTGCATGGCCACAGGCTCGTCCAGCGGCCCCAGCAACCCCCCAAAGTTCCGGAAAAGACGCTCTTTGGGGTCCCACTCGGTGCCAACCTGTAGGGAAGGAGGCAGCTGAGCAGAAGCCAAGGGAAAGTCCTCCTCTCTACCTGCTGCCCCCTCTAACTCCTGTGGGACATCAGGCCAGTCACTGTCTCTTTCTGTCCTCAGTCTCCCCCTCTGCAAAATGATGGGCTCAGACTGGGATTTTAACATCTCTATAAGCTCTGAGGTTCATTCTAGGCTCCTGTTCTGACCTGCTCTGAAGTGTTGGGGGCATTAAGGCAGAAATGATATTCGAACTCCTGCCCAGAGACCATCCCCACATGGAGCAAAGGCCTCCAAGAAAGAGACCAAGGAGACACTCAAAAGCCTAATCTTCTGGCCCAACTGGAATGTCCAACTCCTTATAGAAGAAAATCCCTGGGTGCAGAATACAGGCTTGTGTTGTAGTGGAACCAAGGTCCCCTCCCCGCTGACTGCATGTCCTCTGTGCATCCCAAGGCTGCCATCACTGGGAAAGAAAACCCAGGAATCCAGTCCTGAAAGGCAACCCAATCCTCAGCCCTCCCTTAGTGTCTGTCCCTCTCTCCCCACGACCCTGAGTCTTATGGGGAACAGGAGGAAGCAAGGGGAGGACCTGTCCCACCTCCAAACTCTGGAGCCGGCTGGCCTGGTCACTGTGCCCCAACAGCTTCAGCGACCCCTGGGGCATCAGCCACATCTCAAGCGTCTCTGCCGGCCCCTGGGCTGAGGACTGCACCGCCTGCGTCACCAAGTAGCCCTGGAAATGGTCGTCATAGAAATACAGGTGCACACTGGACGGCAAGCCCCTGGGCTCAAACCTAAGAAGGTTCCAGCAGGGAGAGAGGGAGATGCCATCAGCACACCCGACTTGGCCTGGAGTCCCAGGAAGGGGGCTCTGGGGGAGTCCCATCCCCAGGTGCTTTCTTTGCCCAGATCTCATACCCACAGATCCTACATGCCTGGCTTTTGCCATCTTCATTTTATTTGCATTTTTCCCTGCCTCAAGCTGGGGGCTCCCTGGGGCAGGGGCTGTCTCTTTCTGATTGTCCTCCTTACAGGGCATTACATCCTGAGAGTCTGCAAAATGTCAAAAGGAGGTCTCACCTGCAGAGTGGGTTGGCCAGGGGGGACGCAGCAGTGGTGATGTGGCGCAGGCTGAGGCGGGCAAAAGCAGTGTAAGCAGTGAGCATGACATCGCTGAGCCCACTGGGGCCATCAGCCACGTCATAGGTGTTCTCCCAGTAGGCCTTGAGGGCTGGGGTGCCGGGGGGGTAGCTGCCATATAGGTGGAAGTCCAGGATTTCCAGTACCTCCTGGTTCACAGTGGACTCAAACTTCCGGGCGAAGAAGGTGGGTCTGGAGACTTGCTGGAGTGGGAGAGGCAAGGAGGGTGAAGGGGTCTGGAGGTCCCAGAGAGCACAGCAGGGGAGGCGCCTTTTCCCAGCACTGCCTAGAGATCAGCCACCGAGGGTTTTTCCTGCCTCCAGTTTAGCCCCTTGCCCCTGGGGGCTGCTCTTGGTGAGAGTCCCCCAGATCCTCTGGTTGGACCACCCAGGATTGTTTCTGACCCTAGAAAGCACCCAGCAAAAAGCTGGGGTGAGGCTCTATCAAGGGCCAGAGATTGGGGGTCATGGGGAAGCACCTGCAGCCGTAGGAAGTCCTGCGGCTTGAAGTCATTGGGGGAGCAGCCGCACCAGTCCACGATGTGCTTGTACTGGCACTTGCAGCCCAGCTTGCGGTTCCAGTTGGTGACCCGCAGGTTGTTGTCCACAAGGCTCTCGCAGGCTGGGCTGTTCTCCAGCACAGTGTGAAAGAAGGACTGTGGGTGGCAGGGTGGGGTAGAGGGTGAGCTGTCGAACCCACCACTTGCCCTCCCCCGCCTGGGCACGGGCCCAGTCACCTACCTCAGCTGGGAGCAGCGTGTACGTGTAGAACTGACGTAGCTGGGCCACAAGTGGGTCGTCTGTATACACCACATACTCCACGAAGCTGCGAGTTAGCACGAACCAGTCCGAGCCGCCGTCCACCACAATGCCTGCTGGGATCTGCCGCTCGCCCAGACGCCACATATGCGAATCGCACTCATGGAAGAGCCGGTCCAAGCCCTGTTTCTTGATGAACCTGTGGGAGGCACATGGGCCTGTGGCTGAGGGTCTTGCAGGGTGGAATCCAGGCTCTCATCTTTCCAGGAACCAGCACTCCTCAATCTATGATTGGTTTGGAGGTTTTGCAACCCAGGGCTAAGGCCACCAAGCCCCCTGTGTGTAGCGCTTGTGGCGAGACCCCAAGACCAGGGCATCCTCCGCCATCCCCTTACCTGGAATTGTCCCGGCCATGAGACTTGAGGAAATTCTTGTCCCGGTTCTTGGACAGGAAAGCTACCAGCTCCTCATTGGTCCTGGAGAGAAAATCGCATGTGGGTAGCGTGTGTGAGAGTGGCTCAGTCACCAGCCCAGAGCAGACAGACCCCTCCAGCACTCTTTACCTTCACTCCTTGGCCCCATCTTTTCTTACTGAGAGCCATTCTGACCAACTGACCTACTCTAGGTTGATGCTCTGGGGTGGTGAGGATCTGAGGTCCCTGAGAAAGACCACCCCATCCTTCTTCCACCCCTTCCTGTCTGACCCAAGATCCTGGTTCAGACTTCTGGCTTCCTCTCCTCTCCACCTGTTGTCCCTTACAACCCTCATATTATCTTTCAACAATAACTCCTCTAAAACATTGCTGGGGCCCAGGAATCATGTTTGAGGTGTGCAGATCCCAGAATGAGGCTTTGGGGAGGGAAGAAGTCCATTGGGACCCTGGAACCCCAAGTCCTAAAGGAGGCCCACCTCCCATCTGCAGGGCTCAGAGCACCGCCCCACACCTGGTCGGGTAGTCAGTGGCACTGAGGTTGATGAAGAAGTCCCAGGCCCAGCCGGGCACCTCCAGCAGGTCCTGCATGCTCCGCAGATACATCCTCAGCAGGCTGGCCCCGCCCCAGATGGTGACCATGCGCCAGGGTGTTACCCGCACGTTATCATACTGCTGGGCCAGCTCCACTACCTCACGGTGCAGGTAGTTGGAGCGCTGTGGAAGGTGGGGTGGTGGTGGTGGAAACTCAGCAGTGGAAGATGAACCCCAGCATCACAACCTCCCCACCCGGCCCCACCCCAGGGCTGAGTACAAGTGACATGAAATGGACAGAGCACGGGCTAGGGCTCCAGCTCTGAAGCAGCATGTCAGCTGGAGCGGGCTGCTCCCCCATTCCCCATTCTCCTATCTCTGGGCCACTGAGCAAGTCAGACATACTGTCTGTCCATGACAATCTGGGCCTCTGTCCTACTTACTCAGATGCCCTGTCTCCCTGGCCACAGCAGGTACCTTGTCTACATGGACATAGAAGAAATGCTGCCTGTGGTACACGGCCTTGAGGAGACGCTTCAGCTGCCGGATGGCGCGGCCATGAACCACCAGCATGTAGGCGATCCGCACTGGGGGACCATCCACAGGCTGCTGGGCCCGGACCTCGTCCCACGGGATGCCAGGGCTCACCTTTCCTGAGAGTGTAGAAGAGGGGCATCCGTGAGGTCCCGCTGCAGGTCACAGGGTGCAGGCAACATGGGAAGAGGGAGCTGCCTGTCGTCCAAAGGAAGAACCCTAGACGTAGAGCCCGGTGCTCCCGGGCCCCAGGTCCACCTCTGCCACTTAGCGCACTCATCGCCAACCTGGGCAGCGAGGTGTGCCCTTCCGGGCTTTCATCCCTGAGAACTGGGGGCGGGGATCCCTGCCGTACACCCTCCTGGGCCACCACCTCTCTGCCTAGGCTTGTCTCTTACCAGCCCGCTGACAGTGCCGGGGCACAGCCTTGGGCATGAGGCTGCCGGCCTGGTGCAGGCACACCACGTTGGCGATCTCCTGCTGGCACTGCTTGGAGCTGGCTCGGGCCAGTGCAGACAGAGCATCCTTGCCAACGATCTCGCACTTGGGCGTGAAGCTGTTGTCTGTGGGCTGGGGGGCGCCCTCCACACTCCCCGTGTCTCCATGCGGGAAGCCAGCCGCCCCAACCAGCGCCTCCTCAGCTGCTGCCCCGCTTAGGTTCTGGCGGCCTGGGGCCTCTGGGGGCGGGGTGGGGGGGATCCGCCGGCCGGTTCTGTGCCGGCTAGTTACTGCCCGTACCACCTTGGCCACGGGCACCCCAGGGCTCTCGGCACGGCCCCGCCAGCGCCCATGCCTTCTGCCTGCGCTGCCCCGCCGCCCAGCTGAACTGTCTGTGTCCTTGGAGCCTTCGCTGGGGTCAAGTGGCCGTGGCTTCTTCTGCCTTCCTTTCTGTAAAAGATAGGCAAACACAAGTCACTAAGACAGTTGCTCTCCTCCTGCTCCTTCAGCTTCTTGCTGGCTCAGGCTTTGAAGCCCCTGCCACCCTTTATCTAGAAAAGTACTGAGCACTCTGCACTTCTGCTGGGAGGTCTCCTTGACCAGCTGGCGGAGGAAATGTCGCCCACCCCCAAGGCACCATCGCATCCACACCCCCTCCATCACACAGATCACAGGGCACTGAGCCTCCTTTGGATTCAGACACCACTTTCTTTTTCCACAAATAGGAAGATGAATAAGAGAAACATGCAGAGACCCTACAGACAAGAGCGTTCATCCAGCACTCCCACCCGGGCTTGACTGGGACAAGATAATGCTCTTCAGAAGGAGAAAGCATTCTGCCATCTATAGTATTTCCACATGGGCATGCTGAAGCTGCAACAGAGCAAAGGGGTCTTGCCTGGTGGAGAGGACAGAGGTGAAATCTGAGACCCCATTGCTGGTTGGGTTCCCTGGGAAGCAGAGACTAACAGTCAGAGTGCAGGAGACTCCCTGGGGGGTCACACTCTGGATGATGAGGCAGCAGGAGCAGGCAGCTGCAGGGAAAGCCTTCAGATGGCCAAGCTGGCCTGACCTCTGGGCAGAGGGGCAAGGAAGAGCTTCAGACAACAGCTTGGTTTGAAGAGGGCCTTGACCAGCTAGTGGGAAGCTCCAGGGCAAAGACAGCCTAGAGATGGGAGCCCTGGTACTACTGCTGGGAGTGGCTGAGGATGTGTCTGAGGAGGTGTCTGGCCATGGCTGGAAGGCTGGGGCGTGAAGGCACCTGCAGCTGCAGGCTGGCAACTCATTGCTCCCTGTGGCAGGGTGGCTCATGAAGGGAAAACTGAGATAAGGGAAAGCCTCCACCCCTGCTTCCCGGCTCCTGAAGCCTCCTCTCAAACCTAGGAACCTCCCTAATGATCTGGCCACCCTTGAAAGTGTGTATAGCCACACTCGTTCCAGCTTTCCCTGCCCTTCTTTTGTGATCCCCCTCCTTCCCTGCCTGACCAAATTCCATCCATCCTTCAAGATCCAGCGGAGTCTTCATGTGTGAGGCCGTCCCATTTGCCTCAGGGTGGGACGTTCTTCTAGCTGACCAACTCCTTGGGAAGAGGCTGTCGTGTCAGTTCCATCTCCCCAGTGCCCAGTGGAGTGGCTGGCATATCGGGTGTCTGGTTGGTGTCTGCTGGATGAGGCATGGACTGGACGGAGGAGCGAGAGGCCCCGTGTGACTACTCTGGAGTCACCAGGACTTCCCACTCAGCTCCGTCACTCCCCCACAGTTACCTACCTTCTCTGAGCAGGTTCCCTCAAGTATCAAATATAGGAGGGAAGAGTGTCCACGAGATAGAGCCTGAGATACTGCAACTAGAAAGAGCTGTTCCCTCTCTCTCTCACCACTCTCTGTGTGAGTCCTCTTCCGGCCTGGCCTTCCAGCAGCAGGACTCACTGGACCACAGCCTCTGAAGCAGGCGCCTCAGGATGCCCTCCTGGCGTTGCCCTGGTGTGGCCTCTGTGGCCACTCCTTATCAGTCTTCGTGGCTGACCCTGCCTCATCTCCCAAGGCCACTTTGGGGTCTTTCCTTGTCCACGCTTTCTAGGGGACCTCACTCAGTCCCAAATTTCTCTCTATGGCCTAGAGGGGCTCCCTTGAACTTTCAGTTGTCTAACTGCCAGCCTCCTTGATGCCTGTCCTGGGAGTCTGATAGACCTCTCAAGCCACAAATCCAAAAGTGAACTCCTGATCTTCCTCAGTCGGCTCCTTCTTCAGTTAATGACCAGTCCACCCTTCAGGTTGCTCAGGCCAAAAACGTTGGGGCATCACTTGGACCCTTGTTTCCCTCATACTCCATCATCAGTACACATGTTGGGGCTCCCTTCCAAGGACATCCAGAATTTGATCACTTCTCACTGCTTCCATCATTACCATCCCTGCCTGGAAGCTCTGCTCTTACTCTGGTTTCCTATAGTCCATTCTCAGCAGCCAGTATGCCCATTTCCCTACTCCTCTGCTTGAAGCCACCCACGGCTCCTGCTCTGAGGACAAAGCCCAAAGCCCTTACATGAACCTCCAAAGGCAATGGGAGCGGTGTCTGGCTGACCCCCTCCCTTCCTGACCTTATCTCCTACTAACCTCTCAAGCTTACACTCCTCCAGTCTTAATGTAATGGTTTTCTCAGTGCCCCTCCCTCCTACCTGGCATTCACTGTCCCCTGTACCTAGAACGTTCTCCCCTTGATGTCCCAACATCCCCTGCCTCCAGTCCCTTGCTCAGGTGGCATCCTCTCAGGCAGGCCACCGTGTCCACGGTGGTGGCCAAGGCCAAACTCCAGCTCTCCCCCATCTTCCACTTTGTCTCTCCCACAGCACTTATGTATATGTATAATGTATGTATAAGTATATAATGTATATATAATGTATAATGTAATATGTATAAATGTATTTTTAAAAAATGTTTATTTATTTTATATAAGACCCGGCTATACCGGGTCTTAGTTGTGGTATGCGGGATCTTTAGTTGTGGCACGAAATTCTTAGCTGCAGCAAGTGGGATCTAGTTCCCTGACCAGAGATCAAACCCCGGGCCCCCTGCATTGGGAGTCTCAGCCACTGGACCACCAGAGAAGTCCCTGTATAAATGTATTTATATTGTGCTATTCTATGTCTCTCCCCTTACAAGTATGTAAAGTCCATGAGGATAGAGCTTTTTGTTGTTTTGTTCACTGATGTATTCCTAGAGCCCAGAAGAATGTCTGACAACGGGAGACTCTCTCTCTTAATATAAATAAATTTTTGACCATGCCACACAGCTTGCAGGAACCTAGTTCCCAAACCAGGGATTGAACCCATGCCCTTGGGAGTGAAAGTTAGGCAGAGTCCTAACGACTGGACCACCAAGGAATTCCCTCAGTAAATATTTGTTGAATCAATGAATGAATGAAAAGCCCTTGGCGCAGGCTTGGCATTCAGTAAATGCTGTCATCCTTACTAGTATTAATGGAAGGGGACTAGGAAACAGTCACATGTGAAGTCAGGAGAGAAGCCAAGGCCTTCAGATACTTTGGACCACCGGGTCAAATTTTCCCTGTCCCTCCCCTCCCTAGGACCACCCTCTCCTCCTCGTTAGAGCATGGCAGATGCCTTAGGGCCAGAGGCCCAGCATTAAGGCCCAGCCTTAGGGCCAGAGGCCCAGCATTAAGGCCCAGCCTTAGGGCCAGAGGCCCAGCCCTATACCCTGGCACCCCAGCCTTCTGTGCCCGGCATCCAGCCAGCCCTCTGATCTCTTGGGAGGTGCCCAGTGAGAACTGGGGATGTCTGTCTCCATCTGAGAAGAGATACCTGCAAGAGGGAGGGCAGAGTGGGGAGGAGGCAACAGGCTGTATTCTGTACCCATGCTGGGGAGGGCACCCTGGACTGGGAAGCCCCTAGGAAAGGTGGCTGCGGTCCCACTGAACTGAGTGCATGTAAACTGGTGATGTCGGACCTGGGCACACACTGGGCAGGGACAGACATTCTCAAGCTGAGGTGGGTGGAGATGGCAAAGGAGCTGTGGGTTCTCAAGATGGAGGGCAGTATCAGTGAGTGAGGAAGCTGGTCAGGAGGGCAGGGCTTGGGGCACAGGGCCAGGCTCGCTGTGGTGGGGGAAGGATGTGGGAGGAGCAGGCACGTTGGCGTCCTGCACTGCAGCAGGAGCTGGCTGACCCTGAGAAGGACAGTCCCAGAGGGGGCTGGGGGACAGGAGGCAGCAGTGAGGAACTGCGGTGGGTCCCCAGTGGGCAGCCAGCCTCTTCCCATTGCCTCATCCCAAGAATGTTTATATGCGCAGCAGCAGGACCTCATACTTGTACCCTTTCAGGAGTTGCCCAAAGTTGCCCCTAAGTCAGAGTTCCCTCTAATTACTGAGGACGGGGACTGGCCCTCTGACATCTGCGGGGATGCATTCTGGCCTCCGAGGCCCCCTCTCCTCACTGAGGAGCAATTCAAAGTCCTTTCCTGGCTCTGTAGCTTCTCCTTGGAATCCTTCTCTGAGTTCCAGAGACAGAGAACAAAGCAATGCTGATCCACCACCTTTGGACTTCTCAGACTGTGCTTAAAGTAAGTGGTGAGACAATGTTTGTAAAAGCTTTGAAAACCATAAAATGGCTCTTTGGATGTTAATGGTCATCTCTGATCTCCAACCTAGCCCTCACACATGGCCAGAGTGTGCATCTTAAGTGCATATCTCATTTCATCCTTGCTTAGACCCCCTTTGGTTTCAGCACTCTCCCACTGCACTTAGAATAAAACCCCAGCCCCTCACTACGGGCTGCAGGATGTGCCCTAGACTTCTTCCAGGGATCCCACCACACCCTCCTTCCCATTTCTTGAAGGCAGCCAGCTAAGCCCATTCTCCTCAGGGCCTTCTGCCTGAACTCTGCCTACTGCTTCCCCAGGCTAACTTTCAGCTCACAGGCCACTTCCTGCAGAAGTCTTCCTCAACCACCTATCTAAATTAGCCCTCTTGTTACTGAGTTTCCTTTCCACTGTCAGTCTCTCCCTTAAGACTGTCTGCCCACAAGGGCCATGACCTCATCATCTATTTTATTTATTTCTGTATCCCCGGTGTTAGCACAGTGCCTAGTATGAATTAGGACTTAATATTTGTTGAATGAATGAATCCCTATTACCACTGTGCAGTAGTGAAATAATAGTAAGAGATATTTACTGATGGTTTAGCACGTGCCAGCAACTCCTGCAAATACTTCACAGGCATTACCAATGAGAGAGGTGATATTATAGCCCCCATCTTGGGGTGGGGAGCAGATACCATTGAGGATGCACATGGAAGAGGTTAGGTGATTAGACAGTGGTCACACTACTCACCAGGAGCAGTGCTAGAACAGGACATAGGACGGTAAGGTGGGGTGGTTCAACTCAGCGCCCACCTTCCTAAGTACTTAGTATGCTGCCTGGCTGCCCTGTGGTGGCTGCTGAATGGCTCCAAGCACTAATGGCTGCTTGGACTGCACAACCTCTAGGTTATCAAGGATCTTTTTTTCCATTCTGGTCCAGGGATTCCCCTATCAGGTTCTGCTAGGAAGCTGGAGGAGGTGAGGAGGCAGGATCCCAAGCACTGCACCAGTTCTCCACCCCAGGCTGGAGGCAGGGCAGCAGAGACCTTGAGGCCTGAACAGTCTCTCAGCCCTTCCAGAGATTCACACAGCCATGTAGCAGAGGGTCTGAGAAGCCCTGGATGCTTTACCATGCCCCTCCCCAAAGTGGTCACCAGCCCCTACTCACGTATATTCCAGGGTCAGAAGGCTCCTTAACTCCTTGTCATTCCATGTTAGAATGTCTCATCTGCCCCCAAAATCATCTCTTCGCCTTCCTGCTACTTACTGGACCACAGAAAACAAGCTCACTCCCTTCAGATGTCACAGAGTCAGCCTCCCCTAATCCCTAACCTCAGCTCCTTTTGGAGTTATGATCTCATGTGACTCTGTCCCAGCTCCCCTCACCATCCTAGTTTGTTGGTTCTCCCCAAAAAAGGCAAAAGCAGTGATTCTCCCAATTTCCACACTAGGCCTTCCAGACTGCCCAGATGCAGGAAGGGAAAATGGATATTAGGGCTCCCTTGGCCTTCACCCTACCAGGAGGAGAGGCCCAAGAGGACAGGGCAGAGAGACTGACTCAGTCCACCAGAACCCAGGGATGGGGGCGGGGAAGCCCTGTTCTCTGGTCCACAGCTTAGGGTCAGGGTTTGACTTATCCTCTTCAACCTTCCAGGATGGTCTCAGACCCCACTGGACCCTCCTGATCACACTGGGGAAGACAGGTCTAATCCTCCAGGGAAAACCACATCAGCCAAGAGACTCTCAGAACGAGGACCTGGGGGCTAAGAAGAATGGGATTTGCCCCTGCTCCACAGCCTGGGGCTCTGCTAAACTAGCTGCTGCTGTCCCCATTCTCTTACGGTCAGAGAGGGCGAGTCCCCAATTCCCTAATGTCCTGAGGTCAATTCACCAGCTCAATTCCCCTACCATCCTCTTAAGGAGACCCATGCAGGTGCTTCAGACCCCTGGCTAAAGAAGCCACGCCTCAGGGGCACTCCAGTTCTCTTCCTCGGGGTCTCCCTCCCTCTCCTCAGTTGCCAGACTGAGTCCCACCCCCAGGCTCCACTTCTTAACTGGCCAGTGCCCCTCTGAGGGGCGGGTCGGCGCGATTGCCCGGGGTCCCTAGGCCCCATTCCTCCGCCCACGGCGTGCACACCCCCACCCCCTCCCAACTTCAGAAAGTTTGGCCTGGGGCTCCCCACCTCTAAGCCGGCTCGGGCCCAGCCGCGCCTCCTGGCCCGGCTCCCCGCCACCTGCGCCTGACCTTCACTGCTCACGGAGCTGGAGACCACACCACCAAGACTCGCTCCTCCCGCCCGGGGCCCCTGCCAACCCCGCGGCCCGTCCTCCGGGTCACGCACCGTCCCCGCGCGCAGGCCCCCGGCCCGCCTGGGAAACGGGCGCCAGGGGTCCCGAGGCCCCGAGCCAGGCGGCCTCCCGTGCGCAACACGCAAGCGGCCCGTGTCCCACTTCCCCGGCGGGGGCCATCCGTTTCCCCGCCAGGACGCCGCGCGTCCCCGCGCCCGGCCTGCCCGCCTCCCGCCCGGCCGTCGGAGCACCTCGCCCGGCTCGTCGTCCTCCAGGACGCTGAAGCTCCACACCACTAGGCCCTGCAGCAGCAGGATGGCCAGCGCCGTGGCGATCGCCAGCTTGTAGCGCCGCACCAGCTTCTGCACCCGCGCGCTCGCCACCATCTTCCTGCCCCGGACGCAGGGCGCGCGCCCAGCCCTGCAAGCCGGCCGCGGGCGCGTGCACGGGCACGGGCAGAACCGGCTTCTCCCGAGAGAGGCGGGCCTGGCGCGCGCCGGGGCGGGGCCGGGGGCGGGGCCCGCAGGCCCAAAACGCCGCGCCCCGCGGGCCAGGGGCGGAGCCTGGCCCGGCTGAGCTAGCTGTCCCACCGGCTGCCGGCCTCTCGCGCGCTGGTTCATTGCCTGTCTAGGTCAGTGCCCCAGCTCTTGCGTGTTCTCACCCTCTTCCGGACGGCAAGCCCATGGAACCAGAGTGCAAAGAGGTCTGTGGCCTCACCTCTCTCTGACTCGCCGCCTGGTGTGGGGTGAAGGTGAGGTGGAGGAACTCAGCTTCGCCGAGACCAACTCCCTCTCGGCCCTCGTGCACGCAGAGAATGCTAGAGTGCCCAGAAACGCCGAGTTGGGAGCGATTGTGCAAGTGCCACAGCCCTTGCTTTAAAACCTTGGAAGCCGCACCTACGGGGCAAAGTCTAACTCCTTTGACTGGCATCTGAGGCCCTTCACAAAGCCTTGTTTCCTCTCCCTCTTATCCTAAACATCCTCAGACTTCTACTTGATTCGTGGTTATTGAATTATAGGGTGTGTCAGAATCATCCGCAGGACTTGATAAAATAGATTGCTGGTCCTAGTCCCAGAGTTTCAGAATTTTCAACAAGTTCCCAGATGATGCTGAGCTGCTAGTCTGTGAGCACACCAGAAGAACCACTAGACCTTTGCAAGTGCTGTTCCCCGGGCTCCGCCTTAGCGGCTGCTCCGTTACTTCACTTCCCCTTCCCATCCGAGGCGTCCTCCCAAGTGCTTCCCCGGCACCGGGCAGCCCAACACTGTCCACATACCTGGTTGTAACTTCTCTGGAATCATGGCCTCTTTACCTTTGAATCCTTAGCTCGGAGATGGACACCCAGCAATGCTCAATAAATATTGTGAAAGAAAGAGCGAATGAAGCCCAACCTCCTGTTTCATCAGCTAATCCTAACATTTTTGGAAAGCCTGGCGTGTTCAAGCGGGGCATAGAAAAGGCCTGAACCCCTGCGGCGCTCCCCTAAACGTGTCAGGTCCACTGAGAGGGAAGGGGATAAGAAGCAGGGCATGCCCAGCATAACCAGGTCCGGGCCAGGTGGTGAAGCCAAGCTCCCTGAGAAAGAAGCCATCAGAAGAGCAAAGTGAAGGTTGACGATTTATAATGAAGATTTTAAAAATCACTACACAGAGATCTGGAAAAAGAGATGATTAAAAAAAAAAAAAAAAGCTTGAAGGCAATGATAAAAGGGTTTGGAAGTTGCCAGGGGATAAGCTTGGTGAGGAAATTCTGAATACAGATGTAGTTATTTGATGGCATTTAGGTAAAACCTCCTTTAATTATCTTCTGCCCCTTTGGTATTTGTAATCATTGCACTCCTCAGTATTAGTTAAGTGGGAGAATTGTAAACAGTGTTTCAGATGACAGGCTACTTAAGAGAAACTATCCTTCAAGATTTTGGAAAACATCAGTTGGCATACTAGCAATTGATAGGTTAATTAAATATAGATTTGTGTGCTCATTCAATTGGGTCTCCCAGGGACTGTCTACCTGTCCATAGTCCCCCTGCACCCAACAATTAAAATAACTTTATTTTCCACTGATTTTTTAATTTATTTCTTTATTTTTGGCTGTGCTGGGTGTTCGTTGCTGTGCTTGGGCTTTCTCTAGTTGTGGTGAGCAGGGGATGTTCTTCGTTGCTGAGCATGAGCTCTAGGCTTGGGCTCAGTAGCTGTGGCTCACAGGCATAGTTGCCCCACGGCATGGGGGATCTTCCCAGACCAGGAACTGAACCCTCATCCTCTACATTCTGAACTGAACCCACATCCTCTGCATTGCCATAAGAATGGCAAGTGCATTCTTACGCATTAGACCACCAGGGAAGTCCTATTTCCACTGACTGTGCAAATGATATGTACTCATTATATAACATTTAAAACATAGAAAAAATAAGGAAAAAAATAAAAGTCACCTGCAATCCCATTCCCTGAGACAATCGTCATTAGTATTTTGGTGATGATCCTTTCCCCATCTCTTTACGTGTGTGGAATTTTCCATGAATGGCATCACATGGCACACATGGTTTTTAAATATAGAAACTTACTTTTAAGTATTTCTCTCCCCTCCCCCACTGTGTTAACAGTCTGATTTCCATCCTACCTTCCTTCTTTCCTTTCTTCCTTCCACTTTTGTGGAAATTCACACACACATACACACATACATGGGTTTTTTATTTGGGGATGAGATGTGTCATTATATTTTATTTGTGTGTGTGTGTCATTATATTTTAAAAGTTGAATCATATTACATACACTTTGTATCTTGCTTTTCTCCCTTGATCATAAACACATAGTAGAAATTTCCCCAGGACGGATGGGACCCATTTTTTAAATGACTGCATAATCTGCCACTCCTTTTTTGAATGAACATTCACTTGGTTTCCAGTTTTTGTGGCTACCACAAGTCTATAATATGAAAAGTGAAAGTGAAAGTCCCTCAGTCATGTCAGACTCTTTGTGACCCCATGGCCTGTAGCCTGACAGGCTCCTCTGTCTGGAATTCTCTAGGCAAGAATATTGGAGTGGGTTGCCATTTCCTTCTCCAGGGGATTTTCCTGACCCAGGGTTAAACCTGGGTCTCCCGAATTGCGGGAAGATTCTTTACCATCTGAGCCACCAGGGAAGCCCCAAGAAGATTACCTGTTGATACAGCCTTTCTGCGGAGTGGGTAGCCATTCCCTTACCCGATTCTACAGTAATCCCTATTCACTGCTGTTGTAGTGTTTCTAGAGGATCTTCCCGACCCAGGGATCAAACCCGGGTCTCCTGCATTCTAGGCAGATGCCTTACTATCTGAGTCACCAGGGAAGTCCTAGTGTTTCCTAGGAATGGGATTACTGGGGAAAAGGGAATTTTAAGTGCCGATAGCTATTGCCAGATTGCTTTTCCAAAGAGTTGTGACAATTCACTTTTCCAACAGCATTGTATGAAAGTATGGTTTTCTGGCATCCCTTCCAACAGCAATGATTATCACTTGAATTTTTGCTAATCTGATAGGTAAGAAGTGAGTGCCTTGGTTGTTTATTTGTGATTTTCTGCTGAGGAGTGTCTCAGTTGGTTTCTTGACTGGATTTTCTTTTCCCAGAATTGCTTCTTCATAATCTTCATGAGTCTATCTGTTGCTATTGCACTGTTTGTCTTTTTCTTATCAATTTTAAGAGTTTTTCATCCTTTTGAAATTGAAAGTATTCTTCAATTTATCACTGTATTTTGATTTTTTTAAGATCTAAAAATAGAAAACTTTTCTTGGAATCAGTTATGTTCCTCTTCTTTTATAGCTTCTCATTTTCTCTTCAGGTTGGGTGGATCTCTCTGATTCTTGATAAGATATACAGTCTCATATGTTTTCGCCTACAATATTTATTTTACATTTTACATTTAAGTCTTTAATCCATCTGAAATTTTTTGTGTGTATGGTATGAAGTAGAGGTGTGGAGTCCTGACTTAGCACTTATTCCTTGTCACTGTTATCAGTACCCGTATAGATTTTACTGTTTTTTAATTGATTATTGGTAATTCCCTGGCAGTCCAGTAGTAGTGTTCCACACTTGCACTGCAGGGGCCCAGGGAAGTAAGATTCCACAAGATGCGCAATGTAGTCAAAATTACTAAAAATAAAAATATAGGATAAATTGGTTATTGTGGTATAACATGCCTTGATTGATTTAGATTTGACCATACAAAATATGAGGTTCATTGCTTCCCACCGTCCCCTCTTCTGTCAGGTTCCCCTATAACTTCCATTGTGCATTTTATTTCTTTTATTGTAGAAAGTCTTGAAAATACAAAATGGCTCCTCAGAAAATCAGAGCGGGAAAGCAGTTTTAGTTTTAAGTGGGCTGCTTCTATGATATGTCTTTTCTCATATGATGGCACTATCCTTAGACCTTAGCTTTAGGAGAAATATTATGATATGTGGATGCTGGATGTTTTTAACTTCAGCAGCTAGAGCTCAAACTTGACTCAGGACCAGACCACAGGGAGGTCCCTGCAGTAACGTGTCAGGGCTATGCTTCCCAAGCATCTCCATGGGCCCTGTCTTCTTGCTTTTATCTAATTTCTACGTCTTTGTCCAGTTCCTTGAATTGACACTTGGCTGGGCTGTCTGTCTGCTGGACATGATCCTGGTTTTACCCCTAGATGCTACCTTTGGGACATCTTTTGCCAGCTCACACCCAACCTGGCTCTGGATTCTTGGGCCTCTGCTTGTCAGGTATTAAGTTCGAGCATCTATTGAAATAATCGTGTGTGTTTTTCTAATGTGAGATGATGGTTGTTTTAAAAATAACTTCCACATATTAAAATATTTTTGCATCCCTTAGAGTAAATGTAACTCAGTCCTAGTAGCTTTTTTTTTAAATTGTAGTATAGGTTGAATTTAACTTGCTAGTATTGTATTTAGAATTTTTATATCTATTTTGTAATAGAGATTGACCTATACCAGAGGCTGCAAACTGGGCACCCATGGGACTTGTTTATGCGACCAGAACAGTTTTGAAGCATTTGATTTTGAATTATTGAATAAGGGGTGCACACCCTCCAGCTCCTGTAGTTCCCACTTTTCCCTGTCATTTCACACATCAGTCAACTTCACCTGTTTATATTAGTTTCTGGTGCTTATAAACACTTGAATTTGTAACCTCTGGTCTATGATTTTCTTTTCCAGACTTAAGAATTAGAGTTTACAACATAAATTGAGGAGCATTATTTCTTTATTCTGTGTTTTGAAATAATTTATGCAACAATAGGGATTGTTGTATAATAGTAACAGTAGACACTGCTGTCTCTTAACATTAGAAAAGTCTTGCCAACAAAAGCATAAAACTCAGGAGTCTTTTAGGGAGCTAATTCTTCAGTAACTTCTATTT